GCTTACTGCCCATGACAACCGGGAATGCGTGAAAATATCCAGGGTTCATAACATCCAATGGCTCACGATCGTAACCTTTGTAACGTTCACGATCGCGGCATACAGCGTTCATGACGTCCAAAAATCTTCCATTGTCCCTTGATAGTGAAGACTCACGGAAACCGAAACAACCAAGCTAGCAGAAAAAACACATCATAGCTTTTAGAGTTCATGATATCTAGCGTTCATGACGTCCGAAATGTGCAGGACAGTGCTATCTCCTAGTTAAGCTTAACTGTTTGTTTGGTTATTACCCGATAAAGGTATACCATATCCGATTTTGCTCTACTATGTCAGCGAATGACGTCATCCAGTAGAGTGTCTCCCGACTAATGTCACTATTTTTGGACATGGGAAACAATTTTTTACGCACGCGAACGTTGCCCTGTCAGAACGTGTTCGGTAATAGGTGCCTTGCAAAACTAAAAGCTTCTGATCTTCGGCCTGTGGTCTGAAAGATCTCTGGTTACTCGGCAGTAGCTGCACGCAGGCTGTGGATAAAACCCCCGCGGTGTTTGGCTCCTTTCTTTTCTTGACTTTGGTGATGTTTTACGAATCATTTTGTTGACTGAGTTAATGACAAAGCAAATGATGTATGAGAAATCTACCCATGGCTCCCACAATCAAATGGTGCGTTTCATGAGTTGCCGCTGATTGGAAAAGACTGAATTCCCTTTGACAGCTTTGTTCGGCGCAGCAGTGTGCATATTCAATTACTGCTTTTTTAGGTCCATATTTCCGCAATGAAATACGATGGAAAATGTTGAGCGCAGAGACCCGGATGACGGACATGTGCTATGGTGATTCAGCGTCCAAATACAACACCGCCGCGAGCCAGTTAAACGTTACTTACAAGACGGACATTTCATTTTTGCTGTGGCCATAGCAGTGGGACGTATAACAGTAGAGTATAAATGGTGTCCATGACAGTGGAATGTGTAGCGAATATACAGGTATATGCAAAACGAATGTGGTAATAGTAGTTTTAAACATGCTGGGTGCGTTTTATCGTTTTGTTAAGTCTTTGGTTATTGGGTTAACAGACCGTGGGGTTACGGCAAGGGCAGCAGAGAGCACCGTGCGCAGTGCATATTACAAATGCCCTTGAAACGGTGGCGCGACAAACCAGGCGTTTCGCGTGCAGCAGCCGACCGCACGTAACAACACAGCGACAAATGCCAGAGGATCACGATATTGTCTTCGGTGTTTAATGTGATACGTTACGAGGGAGGAAACCACTGGCGAGTACCTGGTGACTTCAAGTAAGCATGCGCTTAGAGACTTTGGTTGGGAAGACGGCATAGGCACCATCGGCCAGTACAAACATGGCTTGTCTGAAGGAGGCACCACCTGCATAATATGCAAAAGTAACACTTGCGGACCGTGACATAAAAATTTGTAGCCACAGACGCAAAAAACAGTTAAATATATAAAAAACAAAAAAGACATAAGGGAGCTTACACATGGAGGCGAATGACGAATGGCGACAAAATAAGGAGTTACGCATTGAGCCGGTGATGCGTGCCTCGTCACGCGACCTGGACTGTATTTCTCAAAGGGAGTATTCCACATTTGTATGGGGTTTTGAACTGAAATAGCCATCTTGAAGACAACTCAGTGCAGTTCACAGTCCTGCCTTTCTTAAAACCTAAAACCCTCAAGCTTCTGGGCTACACACCCGCGAAGATATGCAGACTAGTTCGGGGAGACTATTTCAAGGTCACTCAGGTATTCATGACGCCATAACAACGCCATTTAAATCCCTGCCATTTCATTGCCATCCTGCGATCGAGGCCAAGAGAAATAAAATTGTCGAGTCGTTCATATCTGCTATTCGTGAGCACGACTTCCAAATATAACGGCCGTCAATTGGCTCTCAATCAATCTTGTGCAAGATGCGATGACGTAATCAAGCAATGACGTATTGAGAAACATATTTACTTAACACAAAAACTGTGTTGCCAAAAGCAGCCTTTTGGAGTTTTTCGACACGTCATGCAGTGATCAAGGCCAATAAAAATATAATTGTAAAGTCGTTCGTATCTGGCATTCGTGCGCACGATTGTCAGGCGCAGCGACCATCAATTTGCTCTCAATGAATGTTGCGCGATGAGGTATGATGACGTAATTAAACAATGAGGTACGATGACGTAATTAAACAATGACGTATGGAGGGGCATGTTTATTAAACAGAGAAATTGTGCTGTCAAAAAAAAAATGTTTTTTTCGACTTAAAAGTACACCAACAGATATAAGTGAGTTTTTGAATGGCATCTGATGCTTGCTTCAAAATCTTCAAACTTGGAACATTTTCTTCAAGTTTGCTTTGATTCCTAGTGGGTAACTGTGAGCCCAGATGGTACATCACGCGTGTGACAGGCTATACACAATCAAACATTTCCATGACAGGGGTGGCCGCGTTACTCAGATGTGGCAAAGCCGTGTTATACACACACACACACACACAACACACACACACACACACACACACACACAACACATATATATATATATATATATATATATATATATATATATATATATATATATATATATATATATATGCATTATAAGATGCTTAAAGGGCAGATTGACATCAAAGCACCCTTGATTTTTCAAGAAGGGACCGTGGACATATGAAAATTATTGATGGCATTGGTTAGAAGAGCTGAATGATTATACTAAGAGCAACAGTTGGTGTCAATGATGGATTGGAACCAGTAGTTCTGCCCTTGCATCATTGTGGGGAGGTGACATCGACGGATTTTAGAAAAAAAAGTTTCCTCGGATGGAACGGCCTAGGCGAAACGTTGCATCATATAAATTGATGCCACTGACGCGTAGGCTTCCTTATAATACGGAACCTACACTAAAACAGAACGTAAGACTGCAAGCCGCCCGACACTCTAAGGGATTCCTGCTTACCATGTTCCACTGCACCTACCACGTGACTATGGTTTGAACGCCAAGTCGACTAAGCCATCTGTCGGCAAAAGAGGAAAATTTGACATCGTTGTGCTATCTAGTGAAAGGATTCGAAAAAATCGACACTGTTTTGCCATATAATTGCCGGAATCAAAACCAGCTTTGGTCTTAGGGATTACTGTATATGAACTCGGGTATTGATAATTTGTATGTTATGAGCTCGGCTGATGGGTGTGGACTTCGACTCATTTTGGATGTTAGGCACGCTGGATGGTGCGATTTTGGATGCTTTGTTCACTGGGCGCTGCGATCTTGGACGTTTTGATAATCCCCGAACTGCGCGGGGTTAATCTCTATGATGACGTGGCCAGTCTGACTGAATTACTGACTGACTGACTGACCAATCAAAGAGCGAATATGATGTCCGAACGCTGCTGCTCCCAAAGCCATAGGTCCTACACTTGATGAGACCGGAGTGCTCTATCTTGTTGTCTCTCCAGCTTTAGATCCAATGATTGGCTGTTAGTCATCCGACGAAGGCTTTTCTTCCGAAATGCAGTGACGTTATTTGGGAAATATTGAGTACTTTTGCATTTATATGAGTGTGGAGTTAAGATATCTCGTGCATGTTGCACATGAGGCTTACAACACAGAAAGGTATATTTGTTGGATGGCAGGGGGAAATCTGATCATTGTAATGTACCCCACAGTGAATTATTGAAGGCCGGGACACGCCTTGCAACAACAGCGTGCAGACAACACCACTATAGCCATCGAAGCGTGTAGCCCAGGGTACACTCCTGGGGGCCGCACGCCTACCGAAGCGTGTAGCCCAGGGTACACTCCATGGGGCCGCACGCTTACCGATGGCGTTTGAGGTAAAGTGATAAGGTGATACGTCAGCCACTAGCAGAAAAGAGCCCAGATGTGCCAGCCTGCACCGTTCCAACGGCTATTTGGTCAAGGCAAGAGTTGTGTCGGGCCGATGAGGAGCTGCGCGGCAAATTTTAAAGGCCATGATCATCGAAATCGTCGAAATCGAAATCGAAATAGAAATCCATCATCGAAAGGCCATGACTGTCTTATCTGCCACTGATATCGATGTGTCTTCTCTGGTTCCATGCCAATGGGATTCCCTTATACCAGAAGGCAAACGTTAAGAAACCGATGTTGCGCTTTATCCAAGATATATTTGATACTTTTTTGGTGTCACACAATAAAAGCCAGGCCATAGGAGAATCGCCGCCTCGCACCGGTGGGCGATACTCTGGTGAGTACACGGTAGACAGGCCCGTCTCATCAGTTCTCCCGACCAAACATGTGATCTGAGTGTTGTTATCTCCGTAATTTATGGGAGCGGCTGCATCGTGGCGCGTTTTGTCGGACATGGTCGTCACTGGCGCTCCATAAAAGGGACACGGCGGCATACGCAGCGGTCTGTTTTTAATACGGAAATAACATAACGCTATGCACTATGTTTTATGAGCGATACGGCACCCAGTGAGCGGTGGCCGTTGCCATTCTGTTTAAACACGTTCGGGGCGAGCAAGCGCCAAACTGATTCCGTGGAATAATTGAGCGCAGTGGAACGCGCCAAAGCGAAGGAACATAGTGCTCACGCCTCGTGTCAATGCCGTGATCGAAACCGTTGGGGCGAAATTGACTGAGCGTTTGTTATGTCTGTGTCGGTTGCAGTCTTGAGCTGCGGCCCCCGAATGCTCCGCGGCCGTCCAGTCAGGACCTGTTTCACCTGGAACTCCTACCCGCGTCCCCCAAAACACAAAATGCGCGCCGGTTGTACGTACCAGGCATGGACGCTCCTGTACCGCCTCTGACACTCGAACGTAGAACACGAACAACATCCATTTTCCACAAGTATCTTCAAACTCGAGCAAAGCGATCTGCCCATTCGCGGAAGCGTGGGAGACCGGCCAGGCCGGGATCGTCCGCTTGGGATCCCGTCCGGTTCCAGGGATCGTCCCAGCAGCCCGCGCGCGCGTCCCTATGCCAGAGACTGTACAGGGGCGGTGGCCGGGTACCGGTCTAGTCATCGCTTAGCGCAGGCGGCGGGGAGGGTTGCGCGCGGCCGACGTCGACCATCGCAACGAAGCGGTCCACCCACAGGACACCCGCGACGACATAGTCTACGCCCGGAGCACGGCAGACAGCTGATTTCAGCGACAGGTGGGTAGCTGGACGGCGCTGGACCGGCGGCGCTGGACGCGGCCACAGTTCAAGGTCGCCAGGAGCTGACGGTCCCTGGGGGACGGGCCTGGAGCGCCCGGCACCTGTTGGCGATCCGCCGGCGTGTGCTGAGGCGGTTGCTAGGCAGCCGGCGTGGAGGAAGTGGGCTGGACCCAGGACGGCGCGCTGGTCAATGTCCGGCCATGAGTGCACTGAATCTGGACTGGGAGAGGGAGGGGAGGACTGTGTTCCAGTGGTGGCGAGCCGAGACGTTTGCCCGGTGTGCTAACAACGGGAACACGCGGCAGGCGACGGGTACGCCCCTGACGGCGGGGCATGTTCTCGTGCGGATCCACCCCACTAAATGCCATTTGCCTGCCGCCCTTCACAGCTGTCAAGTGCAATTGCAAAATTTCGCAGCCGTGTTGCATCATCCATATGGATCGGTGCCACAGTTGTCCAACGCGTTAATCAAATGCTTGGCCCGCTCTCAACCTCGAGCTCCTCCGAATTTTGGTGGAATTGTTTTGACTTGTTCACAGCGTGTCAAAATAAACATATCTGAAGTTTTACCATTTTTCGTGGGCCGCATCGGTAATATCCGATATAAATGTCACATGCGAGCAAAACGCTGGGTTGTCGCCCGCCTCGCGCGGCTGATACAAGCCTTCATCTCTTGACTTGCATGGCGCGAGTGCTTGTTGCACCGGGCATGTTTTGATAAATGCGCCCTTGTCTTTGTTTTGCCTTCACTCATCGGCAATCACGTCAGGTGCTCCCTTCTTCTTTATCGTCGGCCCCTGCCGCGTGCACGCGCCGCTCCCTGCCCGGACGCCGGCCCTCGGGTATGACTGAAGCGTCTGACGTCAGGCTGGGTGACTCGCGGTCACCTGGCCACGCCCGCCGCCCTGTTCCCAGAGTCGTTTTGTTATCTGCGGCCCCGGATTGCCTGAGGTCCCACGGGGCTTGGCGACCCACGCGCAGAGTACACACGAGACTCTCGGCGTGTGTGCCTAGCTCACGTTGTACAGAGGAATGCATGCAGATTGTATGCTGCCATTCCCGGGACGTCTCTGTGTTGGCGGCCTCGGTCAAGCTCAGTGGATGACTGGGCGAGGAGGATGAGTTCGCGGTGACCCGGACGGCGAAGAGTATGCCGTGAACGTCGTTCAGGACATCCTACTCCCACATGTGTGGCGCCTTCCGGTGTCCTGCGGCGACCCGGTCGGCGAAGTTGTTACGCGAGGTCACGCGACATTTTTGCCGAACGCGCAGAATCCATCGCCGGTGTCCATCGCCGATGCCGTTCACAGCGCGCGCGAGAGGCAAACATATCTTGGCATCTAGTAGGGAGACACCTTTGCATATGTCAAGGTATGTCGGAAGAGGTAGCGAAGCAGGTTGTCTAGAGGCCAACCGTCGAAAACATGCCGCAGAGCTCGGGTAACGACGAGTGTAGCATCCCACCACGCCGGGGACTGCCACTTGGCGCAGACGATGGAGGTATGGAAGATAAGGAGCAAGAATGAACAAACTTGTTGTTGGGAAATAGAACAAGAAAGGAGAACACTGCATCATTGTCATGTTCATCAGTGATATATGACTGGAGGAGGTGTTATAACGACGCCAGCAGTGCCGGTCCTGCGCGCAGAGAAGCAAGCAGACACTACACGTAACTAAATGAGACCTGTTTCATGTTCCGAGTGAGCGACACAGCATTGAATGAGCAGCATTTTCTAATGATGACTAAGTGTTAGACAGCTTACGGATGCCTACCCAGACTCATTTCATTTTGCTGAGCCACAAGTCAACGTTACATCACAGGCGGCGGTGCTCAGACGCCTACCCTGTCGCCTCCTCGTGCGCGGAGGCGAGCCGGCACCACTTGTGGCCACGAGGGATCACCAAAATGGGCTATGTCATCAAGGCGTCATCCCTGTGGTATGAGTTTTTAATTCACGACTGAGGCTCACCCGTGATTGTAAAGCTGAAAAGGGCAGCAGGCAATTTGTAATGCTGGACCCATAAACCAGTTTCCATCCATCTCAAGCTTCAGCTAAGCGCCTCTCTGAGAAATGTGAATGGGAAATAGGAAAACCGGTATTTGCGGGACAGTGCGAAGAAACGATGAATCGATCGTGCTTTAAAACCACTTTCTTGGGCACCTCTTTCGTGTGCCTCGGCCATTTTCCCGTTCCTTTGGCACCCACGTTGTGTGCCTCTGTCCGTCTGCACCTCTGTTACGCGCCACAGTCCTCTACTCGCTCCCTCAATCGCGTGCCTCAGAGAGTATGAGCAACCGGACCACCTTCTGAGGTGTGGTACAACACCTCACTTTCACTACGGATGATGGCGAAGTGCTGCCAGTTGTGTGTCCGTCGTGGTATGGAGCAGTGGCACACATCGGTGGTTCCGGGTGGGTTCGGCGCCACTAATGACGTAACGACCGTCGAATGTCCCGAGACTAGCGCGATTCGGCGAATTTCCCTGTTTCTGATACGGGCCGCGCGACCGCACGCTCGGGGACGTTCGGACAGCATGACTCAGACGGCTGTCATGACTGAGACGACTGGCATGACTCGAACTGATCGTCGCTGACTTGTTTGCTAAACTTCTAGTCGTTGACTTGTTTTCAGCTTCGATGATTGAGTCCGCTGGCGCGTGGAGACCGTTGGGTCTTCCAGGAGGTGGGGGGTTGTGCCCAGGAGGATAGAGAGTTTGGATCTTTGCCAAAAGCCAGGTCAGTGGGGTCGCTGAAAACTGGCTTGAGTGAGTGTCTTCTTCAGAGCAGCGAATCGATACGTCATGCGGGGTAGATAACATCTGCCGTGTCAGAATCACTGCCCACTGCGGGCTCGAGGTGGCTCACCGCACCTGAGTCATTTACCACCGCACCGGCAGGGCGGCGCTCCCTGGTCATTCATTCTCTCGGCTCTTGCTTCCGAAGTGCCGTCCTGGCTGCCTCGCTGAGCCTTCGCTGGGCGCCACTGGGCCGGCCCTGACCCCTACACCTTCTCCCCACCTCGGCCTCTGCTCGGTCGGTGCCAGGAGGCGGCTATTTTGGTGGAGCCGGAAGCCTGGCGGGACGGGAGCGCGGTGTAGAGCGTAGAGCGGTGCTCCCGGCCTCTCTCCTCTCCGCCCTCCGTTCCGCCTCCGTTCCGTCCCCCGGAGCGAACCGCGTGCGCTATCACCTGCTGGCCGCCCTCTCATTGTTGTCGCACGCTAGAGTGACTCCCCTTCCGGCCTTTGGTCTTACCCTTCGCTCGCCCCAGGGCAGCACCACACTAATTAAGGTGTGTACGTTTGCTGGCAAATGAGGCGGGCACTCCTTTTCAGGAGTACTGCTTTACGCGATGCCAAGCGTGAGGTGCGGCCTGACCTTCTCACGGGCAGGTCACTCTGGCTTGTCCGACACCCCGAGGACAGGTCGCGCTGGTTTGTCCGCCTATGTCGGAAGGGGTCGGTCAGTCTTGCACATCAGACCAGAGCGGTGTGGGCGCGGAGCGCAGCACTGTCAGTCCTGACAGCGCGGGGGTGCAGCGTCAGCCCTGACAGCGCAGAGGTGCAGCGTCAGTCCTGACCTTAGTGGAGGGGTGCAGCGCCAGCCCTGACAGCGCAGAGGTACAGCGTCAGTCCTGACAGCGCAGAGATGCAGCGTCAGCCCTGACCTTAGCGGAGGGGCGCAGCGTCAGCCCTGACCTTAGCGGAGGGGCACAGCGTCAGCCCTGACCTTAGGGCAGGGGTGCAGCGTCAGCCCTGACCCTAGGGCAGGGGTGCAGCGTCAGCCCTGACCTTAGCGGAGGGGCGCAGCGTCGGCCCTGACCTTAGGGCAGGGGTGCAGCGTCAGCCCTGACCCTAGGGCAGGGGTGCAGCGTCAGCCCTGACCTTAGCGGAGGGGCGCAGCGTCGGCCCTGACCTTGGGCAGGGGTGCAGCGTCAGCCCTGACTTTAGCGGAGGGGTGCAGCGTCAGCCCCGACTTTAGGGCAGGGGCGCAGCGTCAGTCCTGACTTTAGGGCAGGGGTGCAGCGTCAGCCCTGACTTCAGCGGAGGGGCGCAGCGTCAGCCCTGACTTTAGAGCAGGGGTGCAGCGTCAGCCCTGACCTTAGCGGAGGGTTGCAGCGTCAGCCCTGACCTTAGGGCAGGGGTGCAGAGTCAGCCCTGACCTTAGCGGAGGGGCGCGGCGTCAGCCCTGACTTTAGGGCAGGGGCGCAGTGTCAGCCCTGACTTTAGGGCAGGGGTGCAGCGTCAGCCCTGATCTTAGCGGAGGGGCGCAGCGTCAGCCCTGACCTTAGGGCAGGGGTGCAGCGTCTGCCGTGACCTTAGTGCAAGGGTGTAGCGTCAGCCCTGACCTTAGGGCACTGGTGCAGTTATGCATTCAGTTAGACGGGCCATGTACCTCTCCCCCCGCAAACTTTGCCTTGAGAGCCTTGCCGACATCGAAAAGAAAGTGATTCAAATGCATGAAGAACTTTGACTATATTAGAAAATGACGGTGAATTAAGTAAAAGTAATCACGGTTCAGCCCCAACTGAATTGGCAAAGCTCCTGCTCTTGTTCAACGTTGGGTCGCCAGCGAGCCGGGGGACCGCTTCAGCCAGGCAGGATCCTGTTGCCCTCTGGCGTGCACTGAACTGGAAGTCAGGGACCAGTGGCTGTCATGGCCGGAGCCACGTCAGGCCCGATCTAACGGTGCCCTCCTTTTGCGGCTGTTTTTTATAGGGAAGGTCTGGCAATGAACACCGACCTCAGGGCTCTGACGACCAGTTCGGTTGCTTTCTTCCCCACGCTATTGTAGCGCGCTGCACTGGGCGAGCCGGTGGGGTTTGTGGGTGTTTCAGTTCGCACTTGTTGCTAAGGGATGGCGGTGTGGGCTGAAATGGGCTAAACTGCGGGGGATGCAGATGAGGTTGTTGGGTCCATCTTTACCGCGCGGCTACAGGGTCTGGCGTCGCCTCCCAGACCGCTGGGTGGAGCGCCTACGGTGCATGAGTCCTTCATTCTGATGAAAGGTCACAGTCGATGGCTCAACCGCCATGAGTGGTGGTGCAGGTGTCCATAGAATACTGGGAAAAGTCTGTGAGTGGTCTCCAGAATGAGATCCTTTCGACGGCCGAATTGCTACAATCACGCTAAGTGGGACGTAGTATGGCGCGGCGGCAGGTCCACGGGCCACGCCGAGCTCTGCACCGATGGAAATGGGGGTGGGGGTGGGGGCTGTCACCTCTGGAAGTCCAGCGGCGTGAGGGAGCTGGGCGCGACGCCCAGCGGCCCGCACAGAGCCGGTCCAGACCGGCACCGGCTACCGCGGCCGGCGCCATGACAGTCACGTGACCGCTGCAGCTCGTCGGCCAGCGGTCAGCTGACTGGCAGCGACGGGTGTCGTCTGCTCGGCTGTAGCCAGGGGTCGGCACAGAACGAGCACGCTGTGACCCTCACCAGCTGCAGCCAGGGGTCGGCACAGGACGAGCATGCTGTGACCCCACCAGTCAAGGCCAGGGGTCGGCACAGGCGGAGCACGCTGTGACCTCCGCCGGGAGAAAGGCACACATTCGGTAGGATAAAAGCAACTGTGATCCTTTAAGTTGTTTTTGCATAAGACAACTTGGCTGCCCCAGTTGAAGGAGCATATTGGCCCTTGCCCACATCATAAATTATTGGCACATCCTCGGCTCAGCCAAGCCTCGCCCACGCCCGGATGCTGCCCAACTATCAACTTTTTACACTGGGGTGACTCGTCGCACGTGGCCTGGTTACCAGGATGCAGCCGCTTCCAGGGAGCACGCCCACTTTTGAAGCTGCGTCTCGAGCGAGATGTACGGAGCCGGTGAACTTACTCCGAACACGTGTGGGGAACCAATGTTACCGGCCGCCTTCTGTGGGGCTCACTGTGGAAGCTCACCGCGCTTGGGCGACCAACACGGCGTCCGGCGGCGCCAATGCACACCGGATGGTGACCTCATCTTCGCGAATCAGGACGTCGCCGCCCGACGCCACCCTGGCACATACTGACCGCGTGGATACATCAGTTCACTGATCTTCCCACCTGCTTTAAGAATGTAGAGCCATTCATGGACATTTGTGACACGCTATACTCAGACCCCGAGCAGTGGCACAGAACGGTCGAGTGCCTGGACAACTTGCGGAACATTGATGTTGTGGCTGGACCTAGGTACAGACCGGAGTAGCGTGTATGAGCAACAGACGTTGAATGTTTGGTGACCGGATAAAGTCAAATTTACTGACTCAAAGCGGCTCTGCGACCTGTTTTGAATTTATACAGCTCGTTGCCAAAGCATGCCGCCGGGCGGTGCGGTGCTGGGCTCGCCTCTCACACCAACGGGCGCTCGGCCTCTCCCATAAAACGCCCAGAGTTTCCTGCTCCCTCTTTCTGGCAGCTCCTGTCCTCTCGCCATGGCTCCCACGGCCGGCCTCCGCCTGCCACTAGGTTACGTCAGCAGGTGCGCCACTCCCCGTCTCCCCTCTCTCCCCGGCTCCCGCCTGCCACCAGGTCACGTCAGTAGGTGCGCCACTCCACGTCTCCCCTCTCTCCCCGGCTCCCGCCTGCCACCAGTTCACGTCAGTAGGTGCGCCACTCCCCGTCTCCCCTCTCTCCCCGGCTCCTACGGCCGGCTCCCGCCTGCCACCAGGTCACGTCAGTAGGTGCGCCACTCCCCGTCTCCCCTCTCTCCCCGGCTCCTACGGCCCGCTCCCGCCTGCCACTAGGTCACGTCAGTTGGTGCGCCACTCCCCGTCTCCCCTCTCTCCCCGGCTCCTACGGCCCGCTCCCGCCTGCCACTAGGTCACGTCAGTTGGTGCGCCACTCCCCGTCTCCCCTCTCTCCCCGGCTCCTACGGCCGGCTCCCGCCTGCCACTAGGTCACGCCAGCAGGTGCACCGCTCCCCGCCTCGGAGTGCTTTGCAGGATCGGGGCCGCCCGCCGCCCAGCACTGGCCCTGCCTCAGCCGGCGGCTGTGCTCTGTCTGTTTACCCGGCCGGGCGCGGCCGCCGGCGTGTTTGTGCTGGCTGCGCGCCCGGGGCGTTCCAGCGGCGGCCTGACGAGGACACGCCCCGGGCGGGGCCGCCGCGGGCACGGGAGCAGTGGGACCGCAGACGGGATCGGCGGCTCTGCGGGCGGGATCAGGGCATCCTGGTGGGATCACTGGTTTCATTACCGGGGTCAGTGGGTCTCCGGGTGGGATCAGTGGGACCACGGGCGGGACCGGTTCTCCGGGTAGGATCAGGAGGTTCCGGGAGAGAGCTTTGAGTCCCTGGGCGGGATCGCTGGGTCCCCGGGAGGAGTCATGGGTCTGCTGGAGGATCGAGGACATCGTGGTGGGACAAAGTCGTGAATGAGCCGGTTCGTTTGATCAAATAGCCGAGTCAGGTGTGACTGGGCAGGATTCAGGCGTCAGGCATCAGGCACATTCAGTACCGTTTGATCATCGGGGCTAGGCTGTGATCATTGCCTAGTTGAAGGTGGTACGGAGTAGGGGCGCAGCCAGGGTTTTCTTAATAGGAGTGTGGGATCAAAGCTTGGAAAGAACATGCGCGCTGATTATAGTTCGCGCTTCCCCGTGGCTGGCATATAGTACGGATAGGCCTTATCGTAAGATCAACACAGCTTTAGCATGGTCACTAGCTCAAATGCTCTGAATCGATCCGCTTCATTATACGCTGGTTTAGTGGTCATTTTGGGGGCTTTACTAAATCTGTCAGATATTCTCTACAAGAGGCAGCTTTGGCGCGATCGACGGTCTCGGGTTCGCACCTGGGTCTGGTCTGCATCGGTATGCAGCCGTCCATGGTCACGCCGTGGTTCCCACAAGCCTACGTTTGAGGCGGCGACAGGAGCGGATGGCGAGCAATGGGGCTAGTGGGTCTGCAGCTGTGCAACAACCTTACAAAAGGGCGTTGACGCAAGTGCTGTCCCATCCCAGGTTTTTGCGGACCGTCCCCCCCCCCTCCCCCACAGCCGGCCGGCCGGGCACCCGGACACAGCCAGCCGGCTGGTGGCTTGCCGCCGCCGCCGGCCGGCCGGCCGCCGCCGCCGTCGCCACCAGCTGGATGCGCACCAGCTCACCGCTGGAGGCACCGCCGGCTGCCGTCGACACTGGAGGTCTGCGTGCTCCGGTCGACACGGCATCGGCAGTGACGGTACCGATGTGAGGTGGTGACGTCACACGTCTGGCGGCGTCTTATCGCCGGCGGCGTGGGTCCGCTCGCCGCACGCCGTCCGCAGGGTCTGGACGTGGTGCGGATCAGTCCATGGAGGCGTGCTGGCATGGCGTGTGGCCCAACACGCCATCTGACGGCACGCTCCGAATGGCTGCTAATGGACGAACGACGCTGAGACTGACAGGGACGCAGGGAACTGGCTGGTGCAGCTTCACTGAACAGTGCGAGGACTTTTTATATGTTACAAACAATGATGGTACATCTTAAACTGAGCCACCCTTCTTTCAATCGTGTAGGCGTATCTGTGATAGACGGTCGCATACTAGAGCTTCGGTGTCCTTAGAGAAGAGGGGTCACGATGTCATTTGCTGTTCGTGACTTCGCTGCTATATTTGGTATGCTGTACACTTGTTTAACAAACGTTTCATACCGTCAGCATTTCAGATAATATTATGCAATAGCAGTAACGAAACGCAGAGCATAGCACTTCAGAAGCAAGCTTATCGTCAAAGCTAAGAGCTCACTGTCATCGTCTGAACTTAAAAGCAACCAAGGCATGCCGTTCGCTCCATTTTCTTCGAATGACACATGCTGGTGTAATACAATACAACAGTCTGTGATGGAACGGCCTACTTCTGGCGACCCAAACATAACGAAAAGTCAAACTTACTTTCTGGGTCTTTCGCGCGGGCTGTTTTCTTTTGTGAGCTCAGGTGTCCCAGCTTAGAACTAATTAGCAGACCGCGTCCTATGCCCCCGGTCTGCGCTGTCCATTCTGCGCTTTTTGCGCTGTCTGTTCCGCACTGTTTGCGCTGTCTGTTCCGCGCTGTTTGTGCTGTCTGTTCCGCGCTGTTTGCGCTGTCTGTTCTGCGCTGTTCGCGCTGTTAAGCTCGCAGTGTGCCGCAATATTTTTGACCTTACTTAACCGGATGGCCATGACGTAAAGACCTAAGTGCTTTACGCAGTTGAGTTCAAGTAGAGGCCTACTTGCCCTGTGAATTTCACGTTTCAGTATCTCAGCAGAGAGAGAGAGAGAGAAGAGAGAGAGAGATGAGAGAGAGAGAGAGAGAGAGAGAGAGAGAGAGAGAGAGAGAGAGAGAGAGAGGGAGAGGGAGAGGGAGAGGGAGAGGGAGAGGGAGAGGGAGAGGGAGAGGGAGAGGGAGAGGGAGAGGGAGAGGGAGAGGGAGAGGAGAGGGAGAGGGAGAGGGAGAGGGAGAGGGAGAGGGAGAGGGAGAGGGAGAGGGAGAGGGAGAGGGAGAGGGAGAGGGAGAGGGAGAGGGAGAGGGAGAGAGGGGACATTAACCCCGCCCTTCCCGCTCCGCCCAAGCGAGTCTTACTCAACCGGCTTCCCATGCGCGTCTTGAAATAACTAATCCATCCGCAGCAAGCCACAGCAATGCGCTGCATATTACTGGTTCGAGAACGGCTACGATGTCTCAACTCGCCCGGCGGCCCGGTTGAGTTTCATGCCGGCTGTCTACGTGCAGTTTGATGCCCAGTTCTACCCTGTTGCTGACGTGTGTACTCGCCCGCTCGGCAGGACCCCAGCGAGCGGCCACCATGTCCCACTCCATGACCTGTGACCCGTACGGTGACCTCGACGCACCACGAGGGCACCGCCTTCGTCATCAACACGGGCCACTTCAAGACCGCCCCCGGCGTGATCAAGCTGCTCCAGCTGGTGAGCGCGGACCGAGGAACAAGGGGCACCATTTCTTTTTGCTCTCGTTGGCTGACACGGCTGTCCGAAAAAGTTAGATCTGAGCTCGCCGACGTTAGCCGTTTCTCACTGTTCGTCGACAGCAGGGTGCAGTACGCATATTTCTGTGACAGGCTTGAAACGGGCAGTTGTGACCCCTCATTACAGCTGTGCCTTACGTGGGTACATGTGCTAATTTGCAGTTGTCAAAAGAATTTGGGTAAAGTGGATGTGCACCTTTTTAAAATACATGTATAAGTGCCTTTGCGTGCGCAAGTCTTTGGGGGCCATCCATAAATTACGTTGCACATGGGGGGAGGAATGGAATTGATGAAGCATTGTCGAAGCGTGACGAGGGAGGAAGGGGGCTTTCAAAATCGTAACATTACACTCAGGTGGCGTTGCGGATCGTGTTAAAAATATTGTTAACGTTAAAGCCCGACACTGTTGCCTTCCTCTCGTCGCCAGCAACACACCCGTTGTTTCTCTCGCCTAGCTCCGTCAGGTGTCAAACGAGCGGTGCTCTTTGGGACGTTACGATTAGCACGGCGCGTTCAGGGGAGATGGGGGCTCTCGCCCATTGTAACTCATGTGTAATCAGCGGAGGCGGAGGGTTCAGATATGACAAAAATGCGTAACGTTATTGATGAACGATCGGTGAACGCAACACGCAGACTGTTCTCTTCCTGGCAATGCACATCATGTGCAGAATGGCCGACAGATGACACTAGCTGGGCCGAGTCACTGCTCGTCGTGTCATGCTCACGGTCTACAGTGATCAGTGTCACCGCGTGTTTCCTTTGGTGCATCCTACCTGTGCATAGGCCTGAAAGTCACCAGCACAATAGTCAGAAACTGGGCTTAAACCTCTTCAGGTTTTTTTTACTCATCTGTATATCATTTTCACGTTATCAGGCGCCGTTTTACCAGTTTTACCGAAGCCGGTCCTGCATGTATCTGATTGCTGGAGTATTGTGTTATATGGTCACAGCACAAAACAAACAACGCGTTCTCCTTACCTCCCTCGCCACTGTGTCCTCCATGCTCGCAGCAGCGGGCCCCAGCGTGGATGCTGCAGCCGTCAGCCGGGGGCCAGCCTCACTGCCGCCCCGGAGGCGTCCGCTCACCCGCGTGCAGTCTGGAATGACCTCACACGGGGATCCCTGTGCGGGTCAGAACTCATTAACGGGGGCCACTCAGCCCGGCTAATTAACCGATCCCAGGAAGCGTCCAATCTGCCGAGATAATGTTGCTCGCTGACTGCCGTGGTGGCTCACCGTGTTCAACTTAAGCAATAGGAATACGGGTTCCGGAGGCTCGAACACTCCCAACTTCTCGTGAATGCTTAACAGTGGCCTCACGTTCGTGAATGGAAAGAAGGACCTGACGTGAAGGTGACGTGTGGCCTTCACCCCAGCTTTCTGACGGTCCCCGTCCACGCTCAGCAGCCATTCGCCCCAGCCTCGTGACGGTCCCCGTCCACGCTCAGCAGCCGTTCACCCCAGCCTCGTGACGGTCCCCGTCCACGCTCAGCAGCCGTTCACCCCAGCCTCGTGACGGTCCCCGTCCTCGCTCAGCAGCCATTGACCCCAGCCTCGTGACGGTCCCCGTCCTCGCTCAGCAGCCGTTCACCCCAGCCTCGTGACGGTCCCCGTCCTCGCTCAGCAGCCGTTCACCCCAGCCTCGTGACGGTCCCCGTCCACGCTCAGCAGCCGTTCACCCCAGCCTCGTGACGGTCCCCGTCCTCGCTCAGCAGCCGTTCACCCCAGCCTCGTGACGGTCCCCGTCCACGCTCAGCAGCCGTTCACCCCAGCCTCGTGACGGTCCCCGTCCTCGCTCAGCAGCCGTTCACCCCAGCCTCGTGACGGTCCCTGCCCGCGCTCAGCGGCCGTTTGCGGTTTGCCACCGACTGCGTGCTACAACACCAGTGATTTAATCCCTCGGCAACGTATGAGGTCACTGCTGACGGTTTTCTCGGTTTTGTCGCCCTAGATACTCGGCATCATCACCACCGCCATCATGGGCTACTACATGGGGAACTACGCCCGGTATAACCTGCGCATGTTCCGGCCGGAGCTGTTCTTCCTCCTGATCTCCGTGTTTGCTCTCATCACCACCGCGTGCGTCATCATCTCCATGGTCCTCAGCATCGGCACCGCCTCCATCTTGCCGCGCACCTTCTTTGTGAGTGGCTTTGCGGACGTAAAGGTTACTGTTGACCTGTTGGGGTAGGGCTACTGCCTAGTACAAGCTGGGAAGTGTAAACAGTTGTTTTGTGGAACATGGGGAGTATGGAGTCATATGTCTCGTGTGTACTTTGTTGTGCAGTTTTTCTCGTCTTTGCAGTGAGGGCACAGTACAAACCAGCAAAAAAGCAACAACAACAAAACAAATATCCCCCGATATGCTGCAATGTTTGCCAACACCGTGGCCGGGGGTGTCCCCGGAAGATTTGTTGCCAGAATGTTGACGTGACGGTTAACTTGCAGAGAAGGTTGACTCCAGTTCAACAGTTATTTCGTTGAATGCCGTTAAAGTGAGCACTGTCCGTCTTATGCCGTTAAAGCGAGCATTGTCCGTCTAATGCCGTTAAAGCGAGTATTGTCCGTCTTTTATTCTTGGTCTGCCTGTTGCAACGTCACGACATAACAGGACGCTCACCAGGGCAGGGGAGGGCTGGGGGGTGATACAAAGTCATTCAGCCATCGTTTGTCAAATGCGAAACGTAGACAACATCCCGTACACCAGATGAACTGAAGCCGTGAGGGTCGCTTACTTAGTGACCGCTCGAGTCACGTGAGCGGCCCGGGCTGCCGGCCGGGCGGCCGCTGGTCCCCATCGTGACGCCACGCGCCGCGGCCCCAGCGGCGCTATGGAACGGGACCCCTCCCCTCTCCGGCCCATCGATTGCCAGCATGCCAGTGGGTCACGCGACCGGTGTCCCCGCCCCCCCCCCCCCCGAGCACACGCATCGACCACGCCACGTGGAGTCATTGTCGGGTGACCGGTCTTGCGTATCACGGTGGTGGGATAGCCGTTCGCCAATGCGAATTAGCCAACATGGGGTTAAGAACAGCTGGTCAAGTCGCTCATGGACACGTGTGGTACAGGAGGGGATACATTTGGATGGAGGAGTGTGACACTCGCTCTCATGCTGCAGGATATGATGTGTCCCTGAGTACAGGCCCCTCGTAGGAGGCGGTCTACCATCTGTGTGTTAGGTCTCTGCAGCACGTGGTCCGTCCCTACGTCTGCCGTTGCACGTGCCACTGTGCCTGTTACAGGAGGTGGTGTACCACTTTATCGCGTTCCTGCTGCTCTGCGCCGCTTCCATCACCCTTCTTGTGGTGCTCACGGACAACAGATACAGGCGGGACCCAAACTACGAGCCCAAGCTGGCTGCCGCGGTATGTGCGCGCCGCCGGATCTGTGCTTGCCAGGCGGCCCGGTTTCAGTGTCGGCACGGGCTGCTTGTTGGTGGTCGGGGAAGGATCCTAGCGGGGACATCAGGGATTGGGGGGGGGGGGGGGGGGAGCAGTTGACTACGTGGCGGCGCGCTCGGCTGTCCGCCCTGCGTTTGTGGTGCTTCGCATGCAGCTGCCATTTTCTCGCTTTCTGTCGCATTTTTCTTCCGTTTCTTTTTCTTCCGCAACAGTCTTTCCCGAGCTAGAGTGAAGCTTGAGGATTCTCCACCGAAAGACGACCAATACCGCTCAAACCCCGCCCCCTGCGGACGACCCCGCCCATCCATCCCCCGCCGCCGGCGGACAGCCCGTGCTGGCCAGCCGGGTCGCCTGAGACCCTGACCACGGCCTGACCTTGACCTGGCCTGGGCGGCGGCCGCTTGCAGATGGTGTTGCTGAGCTCTGTCCAGGCAGCCATGTTGGCACTGTCAGCCGCACTCACCATCAATGAGATCAAGCGGCGCAACGCCGGACACAGATTTCTCGAGCCGGGCTACCACAGCAAGCTGGCGGCGGCGGTGAGTGGGGCGGCGCGCCGGTGCGACACTAACACACTAACGGGGGCGGCCGGCGCCGATGGGCCATCCATTGGTCCGAGGTTGACGGGCGCTGGTCTGTGGACGACGAGCCGGCAGCACCGAGCCGCCCCACCCTCGCTGCACCGGGCCGGCGCCGGCTCTGGTTGCCTGAGGGACGTGGATGGTCTTCGGTCGGAGCCCGCCGACTGCAGGTTGTGGTCGGTCGTGATCTCCAGTCCTGCTAGCCGCCTCTTCGTCAAGCACGGCGCGCGGCCAGATGGAACGTTTCCGAGGAACCTCCCGTCCTAGAGTGGGATACGGCTCCATACAGGACGCGCGCTGCAGCCGCTCCACTTTGTAAAACGATAGGAGTTTTCCAGGGGTGGCCTGTGTTCCCCCGATTGTTGAACAGTTTCTGGCAACTCCTGTCTGTGCTGTCGGTTCGCAGCTGCGTTCCCGGCCGTAGCGGACGCGGCGCCGCGCGCACTTGTGTGTCGCTGCATGACGCGCGACCAGCCTTTCTGTTGGCTCACTGACGGGAGGTAGCAGTGGCTCTGGAACGGCAACTCTGACAGGGGCTGACGTCACTACTGACGGCCAGCAGCGGCGTTGACTCCAGAGTTGATGGCGTTACTAGTGAAGGACAGCAGCGGCGGTGGCTCGAGAGCTGCTGACGTCACTGGTAACGGCCAGCAGCGGCGGCGGCTTCAGAGTTGATGGCGTTACTAGTGAAGGCCAGCAGCGGCGGCGGCTCGAGAGCTGCTGACGTCACTGGTAACGGCCAGCAGCGGCGGCGACTCCAGAGTTGATGGCGTTACAAGTGAAGGCCAGCAGCGGCGGCGGCTCGAGAGCTACTGACGCCACTGGTATCGGCCAGCAGCGGCGGCGACTCCAGAGTTGATGGGGCTACTAATGAAGGCCAGCAGCGGCGGCGGCTCGAGAGCTGCTGACGTCACTGGTAACGGCCAGCAGCGCCGGCGGCTCCAGAGCTGACACGGGCCAGAGTCTCAGCTGACGATGTTTGCTGCTCGTCAGCAGAACCGATGTCGGGTCCTGACGGTCAGAGCGCATGCTCCGTTTCGTCCATCGGCAGGTGCCCGCGCGCTAACATTTATATTTGGCGTTTCTGGCCAGGGTCAGTTTGTTATGTCTGCCTGAGTGGGGAAATTCTGGCCTTGCGGGAATTTTGCTAATCGCCTCTTGTCGTGGTCTGACCCGGTCCGTGCATATTCCGAGGCTAGTCTAGGCCATGGGAGCCAGGCGCAGATGCGCCGTCTAGGGCGTCATCATCGTCACAACCAGCCTTAGGACGTTTCCCGACCAGCGTTCTCACAGCAGCCCGACCGACAGCCCTCTCCGCCTTCCCCTCCCCCCCCCCCCCCAGCTAATCCGTCCGCAGACCTAGCAAAGGACCGCAGACGCGTCAACACCTGATGACCTTGAGGGCCGGACTGCTCGCTGAAGGAGAGTATGGCGGCTCGAACGTTCGGGACGATCGTGTGTGCTGGTCCGAACCGGTCCGCATACCGGTCTGGTCACGTGACGACCTCTACTTTTTGAGACTGGCTCGGGTTCGGGTGTTTGATTCTAATATTGACTATGGCCTGCCGGGAACATTTCTGGCAACTGTTTGTTTTTGTCTCGGTTTGTCTCCAGTTGTCTTCGTCTGTCTTCGTTGGTCTTCAGCTGCGCTGTGCGCATACTAGTCTCCACAACGGACTGTCGCTGCTCTTCTGATGCATGGCGCGAACGTTGAACCGCATTACCGGGGCTTTGGAAGCTTTGGGGGGGGGGGGGGGGGGAGGTGGGAGTTCGGCTTTGTTGGCGCCGAGTGCATGCATTGTGGGGGCATGCGGCGATTGTGCTTGTGCTCTCCAGTGATGTGGCTGACGCGCGTAGTGTCCTATTCAGTTGGGGTAAGAGGCTCCAGCACCCCAACTTTCAAAGGAAAGTGTACCAAGCTCCCGGAAGCCGAATCTTTGGTGTATGTTGGTGAGGTTTACTCAATTTTCCTTGTCCAACCCCTAGGCTATTTTACCAGACTACACCCAGTGGCTGCTCTGTGCTATGCGGTGCTTTGCTCGCAATCGGGACTGTTGTTGAAGGGAGAGCGATTGCTCTATCTGGTGTTACCTCAAATCGCAACGCGTGTTTTATTTTGGGTCGTAATCTAACAGGAACATATGTTAATGGGGCGTTTTAAATTGGCGCTGCAAAGCCGGTGCTCAAAGTTGTCTTAGGTGCCCAGTTTTTTCACTTGGAACAACTATTTGGAGTGGCTACATCAGTCGGCTGCTTTTCGCTGGGCTGCTTATCATGATATCTTTTGATTGGGCACGATCTGCTCGGTTTTTCACCACTGTGGCCAAATTACGTGTTCAGTGGACTTTGTAGCCAATTTCCATTTATGTAGAATTGTATGAGACCTTGTGATGTCTTATTTCGATCAAAAGCCTTCTTCAAAATGTTGCGATTAAATGCGTCTACGATAGGCAAAGGATTGGGCTTATCTTGCAGATTCCAATTTCGTCAGCAACGCCAGGTCCTCGCCGCAATATGCGAGCTTATGCGAGACGGCCTCCAAGTATGCCACCTTTCCTTCGAAAATCTGCATTGGCATTTTGCCCAACACTGATTGGAAATGGTGATGTTCATTGCGAAGGAAACTTCCTGGTGATATGCTCACCGTCACTGCTAGATGTCAGTACACCACAGGAGCTGTCTGTAGTTTTTATTTATTGGGAGTCATAGGCCCATAATGCATGTCTTTATTCTACATAGGACATTCTTAACAGGACATGCCTCTACGGATTATGTCCGCGTGAACCAAACACCCACCCCGGGGCCGATCAGTACGCCTTCAGGAACGGCTCTGTATCGCTGGCGATTGTATCTAGCTGTGTTAAATAATGTGATTCCTTTCCAGGCTATGGGACTAATCAACTCGTTCCTGTATCTCTGCTCATTCATCATGGCCGTTCGCTCCTGGAGGGTTCTGTAAGCAGTGCCATCTGTCCGCCATGTTTGAACCTCTAGTTGCAGTGTGCGCCCGCGCTCACAGTGCCTCGTTGGCAGAGCAACAAAAGGTTCCTACTTGGCAATGGCGCTTGCTTCCGTAAGCCACGCTCGCGTGCATCGACAAAGTGTGTAAGTGTTCAAGTCCTGTAGTGGTAGTAGCCGTGTACCATTGATGTTTGACGTCATAGCTACCGTTTTGCGGTTTTAACGGGCGAATCGAAGCATCCGAAATGTTTGGCCGAGTCGCGTGCTTGCTTGGTCCCATCGCTGTTTTGCCTTAAGCGTAAGTTGAAAAGCCGTCCCCCTGCGAACTGCCCCGGAGCTGCAGCCAGCCTCGACGTGCCGTGCATCTTAAACTGCCGCGTGCCGCAGCTCGTGCTCTGGACGTGCCGTGCATCTGTAGCTGCCGCACGCTGCATCTCGTGCTCTGGACACACCGTGCATCTATAGATGTCGCGTGCCGCAGCTCGTGTCTGTAACTGCCACGTGCCGCAGCTCGTGCTCTGGACGTGCCGTGCATCTATAGCTGTCGCATGCCGCAGCTCGCGTCTATAGGTGCCGCGTGCCGCAGCTCGTGCTCTGGACGTGCCGTGATCTGTAACTGCCACGTGCCGCAGCTCGTGCTCTGGACGTGCCGTGCATCTATAGCTGTCGCGTGCCGCAGCTCGTGTCTGTAACTGCCACGTGCCGCAGCTCGTGCTCTGGACGTGCCGTGCATCTGTGGCTGCCGCATGCCGCAGTTCGTGCTCTGGACGTACCGTGCATCTGTAGCAGCTGTACTGTGCTGCTCTGTGCCATGAACACCCTTCGTCTAGGCTGGCCGTGTGGTGGAGTCGTAAAAAGCATGGAGGTAGGGGAGCGGGGGGGGGGAGGGGAGGCGTATTGAGAAGAAAGAGAGGCCCACAGGATTTCTCCTGGGTTTCCTCTCCAATATCTTTAGCTTTGGATTTGGTGTGCTATTGGCGGGGCCTGGAAGTGGGGGGGGGGGGGGGGGGATGGGCATTGTCATCCCCTCAAAGACGTGCGGAATTTCGCCCTGTGGCCTTGTGTATTACGCCGTCCAGATTAGCTCTAACTCACAAGTGAGGCGCCCCTGGACCTCCCCGAAAATGCGATACTCGCTATTTGACGATCGCTTGGAAACGGCTTTGCTTGCATTGCGCCCGTAGTCTGAACTCTTGGTGATGCCCAGGAAGAGGAGACCGGGCGGCCGTGATCATCTTTATGCCCCATTGTCTGATGAGGCGCGCTCTATCGCTTCTTTTGCCGCGAGCATTTGTACTGACCACGTGGTGGAGCTTGTTTGGTGATAGCGCTCCTAGTTCGTGTGAGAAGTGTGCGAGCTGTTAACTGCCATGCCATGCTTACGAATATACGTCAGCCTTGTCAATTCGAGACCCCAAGTCGCAAACGCATGCCTGGAAAGCATCCGGATCTTCGTGACTGGTTGGTGGGTATGGTGTCTCGCCACTCTGATCTTCCTGATCGGTTGATGGGTGTGATCTGTCGCAGAGCGCCGAATCGTGAATGGGTGTTGTTTTAGGAGACAAATAGCCGCGAACTGCGTCAGAAGAGACTCTGTCACGTTCAGCACTCGACAGACGCTACTGTACAGGAGTGGCCGCACGAGCACGCGTCCTCAGTTATATAGCGGCTCTCCTCGGAAGCGGGTTGCGAGTGCTGCTGATAGACAGAATGGACTTTGTGGTCGTTGCGCTTTGCAACGACGGGGTTAAAATGACGAGCAATGCAATCCATCGCGTAGTAGGACGATAAAGCATAGCTCGCGTGGAGTGCGCCGCCATCGGACCACGGGACGTGCGGCACGGCACTGCGCTCAGCCAGTAACCAGGACAAAGCATCCGTGGAGATGGCCAACGCTCCGCATGGACGAAAGGGGCCGTGCAACGTCGTGAGTCATGTGGTGGAAGCCGGGATGTAGTGCGCGATGTCTCGCGGCCCCGCTTCGCTCGGCACCGCCAGCCACGGCACAGTGGTGTGACGCCGAAGGTCTCAGATGGCGCTAAACGGAGCAGAACGTCCACCACACCTCGCCCTGTTGTTGAGACAATGCTGTGGTATTGATACGCACTGTGAGGATGGCGGGCTCGCCATACCGGCTTTACAGCGACGGCGTGGCGCGAAGTCAATGCCCTGGCAAAAGCGTTCACGGCTGAGAGGAAATGCCGAAGATATCTGACGTCTCACTCGCACCCTTGTCGTTTCATTCAAAGCTTTAGCTGTTACCTCTGAAGCCGTGCTGTGCATGCCCGGTTTTTGGAGGGTGCCAAAGTGCCTCATGCTGGTAACGTGATTTTGACGCCTTTAGGGATAGCCGCGCTTTCACAATACTCGGGCTCGTTGGATGTCCCAAGAACCGTTGGTTCTTAAACCAACCCGCTGCAAGTACGCGAGTCACAAGTGACCAGGCTTCCACAACGCGGCGACTTGTGGAGCCCGCTACTTATAACGTGCCGGCAGGACAATTCGATCCTTATTAAATTGCTGACGTCGCCGCCAACCGGTTAGCGAGCCGAGTTGAGTTGGCTTCAGTCGCCAGCCATGTAGCGAGCCGAATGCGCCCTGCTTGAACTGAGACAATCGTCGCCTCAGGCGACTTGTGCCCACCCGGTCTGCTGTTACCGAGACCAGCGCGCGCCGGACCGGGCAACACGCCTGCTAGCAGCTTCCGTCGCTGCAACCGCTGGTCACAGGCTCGTGGGGTACAGGAGCTTGCAACAAGAAGAGGCCGACAGCCGTGCTGCATAAAGCGTGAGGCATGCTGCACCCAGGCAGCCGCGTCACTGCAGCGTTTCCTGCACCGTTGCACGTTCTCTCGCCGAATCCTCAAGAAAAGCGTCACATTTTCAAATCGCGAAGAGTTGACAAATGTGGGTAGAAACCGCGTCCAGGCCTCGACGACCTCATGCTGCAACGACACGATGCCTACAGCCTGGCGGACTTCCCAGTTTGTTGCTTTCTCCTGAGAGCAGCCTGGACAATCGCGCCGCAAAAATATCGTCTGAGTGGGCGGACGGCGGAGCGCTTCCACGCGCAAGACATACAACCACTCGTTTTAGGATGTTGTCGAATATCGGCGGCTAAATCAGGTGAAGAAGTAAAACTGACAGCCCAATGCAGGCACATGGACCGGCCACAACTCACGAATGAATCTTATAGCTGTCTGACCCACAAGTACGCTAATAACACACCTGGAAGTGGTCAGTTTCACCTTTTGAAACCGGTCCAGAATGCAAGGCGCTGTTTCCAAACTGAGGTAGATGGGGCAATCAAGGCTTTGTAGGCGTGTCGCTCGGTTTATTAATATCCATATCTACCCAAAATACTTGCGCTTCTCACAATGCTTTGTTCAAAGCTATTAAGGCCGTAAAACAATAGAAGTTGTAAAGTCACTCGTCGACGATAAAGCTTCCAACGTGTTGCTGCAAGCTGTTGCTGCTGGCTCTCGAAAGTGCATGCCTTTTTATCTCTGTTTTGACGCCATCTACATAAAGTGATAACATGATGTAGTACGCAATCAAAGATTTGTAAGCTGTCAGCTAACAAAATTACATGCTCCGAAGATGGCCTGGTCAGAATTCATCTGGTTCTCGTGATCATATGCTTCCCGCATTTACGAACGGAGCACATCACCTGTGACGCCCTGTCAGACCTCTGCCGACTGACCTAGCGGCGTGACCTCTGCTAACTGACCTGGCGGTGTGACTTCTACTGACTGACCTGGCGGCTAGACCTCTGCTGGCCATGACAGCGCTCTGACCTGTCAGCCATTTGGCAGCGGCACCGTGGTGACGGTTCCGGGGTTTCCGGCCAGCCCACCTCAGCTTGCGGAGGTCTCTGTTCGGTCTGGGATGCGCGAATTTAATATAGTAAACTGTTCTCTACAGCCTCTTCCAGCCTCGAGCGGATCGAAGCGACCATTTACGAATTGAAAAGCCCCATTGAAGTACGGGGCTGCGATAAAAACGAATGAAATGGGCTGTCAGGTAACGCATCAAAGGGGCTAAGAGGTTAGCACAGATGCTCAAAAGCGATGGTGGTCCAATAATTTATTTACATAAAAGCAGACTGAAAACATCCAGCCAATGTCATGTAAGCGGGAGGCGGCCAGGGGGCGACGGGACGAGAGAAGCAAGGAGGAGAGGGCGAACAGGAGACAGTGCGGGAGGCGGCGACGGCGGGAGGGCGAGGCAGCAGCGGGAACACAGCGGCAACTTTCCACCAGTGGATTCGCTCGAATCGCCACTATCACTGGCGGGTCGTCTCCTCCGCGGACGCCGGCCGAGCCGCCGCCGCCACCGCTGCCGTCTGAGTCAGCGCCGCCGGCGGCCGAGAGCCGTGCCGCGCGCAGAGCCCGGCGCACAGCACGAGCCAGTGCGAGCGGAGCGGACTGTGAGGGCGGACGGTCCGAGTGGAGCGGACTGAGAGGGCGGACGGCGCGGAGGACTGCAAGGGCGGACGGCCGGAGGACATCGCGCGGACGGCGCGGAGGACGGCACGGAGGACGCTGGCATGCCGGACGGCGTGGGGAAGCAGTGGGGTTCGCTGAGACAAACGCGGCCCTGGCGGTACGCGGCCTCGCTGACAGGCATGCTCCACCTTGTGTCGCTGGTGAGTGATGGCAGGTAGCGGTAGCGGGCAGGAGTCCTGCGGACGGGGTTGTGTGCGTAACTAGTCCGTTGTCACATTGCAGCGTTGTCGATTGTTCCTCTTACTGTCTTACAGATCGTCCTAGTGGAGGAAATCTGATCGTACAAAATGGCTCGTTTTACCGGTGCTGAGTAACCAAAAACATCTCCCTGACGATAGCCCGGATGCTGCAGCCACATCACATTTGATTTCCTTATGTTGCATCTGTGCATAGCATACCAGCACAATACCTGGCGCTCACCGCGCACCACTTGTTAAAGCCAGGTAGCCGCTCGTGACGTCATGCTTCCTGATTTGTGAGCGAACATCCGTATCCGGCAAATCCGCGCGAGCGTCAGTCTATATCCGGAAGACTGCCTACTCAGTAGGTCCGACCGCGCGTAAAAACCGGTCTCGCTTGAGCGAGGTGCCGCGCTGACTCACCGGAACTGGCGATTTGTGGGCGTCGCGACGACCGTCGCCGGGCCGCGGTCACGCAAACCGCGGGCCTCAATGCGCCGACTCCCGTCAAAGCGGATAGAATAACTGTTCGGCATATCGTCCCGTCTGGTGTGCTAATATGTAGGAAACATACTGTTGATATATACAGTGCATGCTGTTGGTATGTACAGTAGGTACTATCGGTATACAAAATACATGCTGTCAGTATGTGCAATACATACCAACACACCAGACAAGGACGGTAGTCTGAGCAGTGATTTCATCCGACAAAACACATACCTCGCCTCAACCATTCCATGAACCTGTGACCGTCCATATATTGCACAGCTTTGTCCGATCAGGTATTTGCTTTAACAACTGCGGACAGCTATTTCTATTCGTATTTCCGTTTGTAGTGCCGACTATTTCTATTCTATTTTCGTGGGCATTGATCGTGAGCGTTATCTATTTCCGTGAGCAAACGAACACGGTTACTTTCACGCGCGGTTACGAACGAAACGTACACGGAGGCGGACGATATGCCATAAACAAAGCTGACGAATGATGAGCGTGGACCCAGACACTGTCCAGGATTCTAGGCAAGAGGCGCGCTGAGGTCAAGCAAACCACGTGCACCAGTCATCGTTCAAAATCAAGGCCGACACCAAAAGTACCCGAGCAACCAACCAGTACGTTAGTGGACTTGCGACCTCTCCTTGAGAAGCCGTGCGTGTGTGCGTGCGCGCGTGCGTGTCCCCTGATGACCAGCCCGATTTCCTCCCCTCAGGCGCTGTCGGTGCTGTGTGTAGCGTTCGCCGGCCACTATCTGGGCATGTACCAAGGCGTGCACGTGCCCGGCTACGACCTGTTCCGGCCGGAGGCGTTCTTTGTGATCGCTGGCGTCGCGTGCATGGTGGTGACAACGCTGCTGCTGGCCACCGTGCTCGCCTCGGCCGAGTCACAGGAGCTGCTCTTCAGGACTCTGGCGGTAAGATCGGGAGTTGGGGTCAGACTCTGGACTCGGGACTCTGGAAGTGAGTTTGAGGGTCGGGTTCGGACTCGGGACTCGAGACTCGGAGCTCAGAAGTCGGGGTTTGACCCTGGACTCTGGACTCTGGCGGTGAGCTCAGGAGGCGGAGTTGGACTCTGTTCTCGGGATTATGGCGGTGAGTTCGAGAATCGGGTTCGGACTCTCCTCTCGGGACTCTGGTGGACTCTGGACTCGGGACCCCGGCCTCAAATGGTGACAAGTGAAGGATTCGGAACCAGATACCGTTTTGAGGGCTCGGCGATTAGTTAAGGAGGCAGAATTCTGACTCTGAGCTCAGGATGCTGAGCCAGACTGCGGGGTAAGGGTTCAGGCGATGAGTTCGGGGCTCGGCATCCTTACACTCGGAGCTTTGGCGTTGAGCACAGAACTAACAACTCAGGATACACAGCATTCTGGCAGTGAGCTAAGACTCGGATGACTCGGCACGTTGGAGGCGAGCTAAAACTAGGCTGGTTGGACGCTCTGGAGGTGAGTTAAGACTCGGATGGCTGGACACTCTGGAGGTGAGCGAAAGCCTGGATGGCTGGACACTCTGGAGGTGGGCTAAGACGCGGATAGCTGGACGTTCTGGGGGTGAGCTAAGGCTCGGATGGCTTGACACTCTGGAGGTGAGCTAACACTCGAATAGCTTGACACTCTGGAGGTGAGCGCAGCACTCTTAACTCAGGACGGTGGCGGCGAACTCTGGCCTCTGGCCTGGTGGTGAGTTTGGGACTCGAAGGTCTGATCCCAGCTTCAGAACATTTGTTGTATGATCGATTACTTCTAGGATGGCTGGTCAGTCTCGGAGCCCTAGTCCTCAGTCCAGATTTGTCAGTCTCGGAGCCCCAGTCCTCAGTCCAGATTTGCCAGTCTCGGAGCCTGTCTTGTCGGTCTCAGATCGCTACCTTACGAAGTGGTGTGCCGAAACATTTCAATTCAGGCAGGGGTACCATCTTTTCCACGTTCTGGGAGCCTGAGCCCTTCTCCCCATGCTGATTTGAGCCCCCCCCCCCCCTCTGCCCCCCCCCCCCAATGCTCCTCTGAGCCCTCTCACCGCATATGAGCAAAGAGGAAATACTGAACCAAATAAATGAAGACCAATTATCTTAACCACTAGTTTTCGGGGAAGAAGAAACCTCACAACATCACTACTAGTAACACGTAAGCTGTTAAGTGCGTTTGCGAGGCACATTATTCACACAGATAAGACAGTAGCAATAACCTCATTCCTCCGAGAAAAGCCAGGATAATGGAAATAAAGACGCTTTGATGTTTCGTTAACATGCCTTCATCAATACGAATAGCAGGAGTGAATTCTGAATTGAGTTCTGAATAAGTTCTTTTCTGAATTACTTTCTGCTATCGGAATCTTTGGTGTGGAGATTTCTGCTGATTAATATTTGTGCTATACGAATTCTGTTATTTCTGCATTTCCTGCTCTGCTACGTGAATTCACCTCTGCTATTCGTTTCGATAAACGCATGCTGCCGAAACATCAACACATCTTTGTCTCCATTCTCCTGGTTTTTCTCCGGGGACTAAGGCCATTACTACTGTCTTAACTATTAGTATCAGGTTACTTTTGTACCAAATAACATCTTGTAGGCATCTACTGCTCATGTCATACTAGCTGTTTCACATGTTAAGCCGGTCTGCAAATGTTTCACAAGTTTTTTGAAGTGATAACACTTGGGTTGGGATAAAGAACAGTTGACTGCAATATGTGGCATCTTCAAAAAGTGCAGGGTGGCCCAGACAAAACATAACGCCTGTTTTCTCCAACCGTCGCACATGTATTTGTTGCCTGATCGTGATTCTTGTCGTTATACAGCACGATCAGCGACAGTGGTAGTCATCAGTGATTCCTTACTCGAATTTAGTTAATGTTTTTCCTTGAATGATATAGTTATGCAATAATGTTATGCAATAATGTTTTTTACTCTAAGCTTTTCACAAAAGGCAGCCCACATTGACTTGAACTAGGAAGTCATTCTTGCACAGGAGAACAACTTGGAATCTCCAAAATATCAAACAGCTGTTTAAAAAATCTTAACATCGAGGATGAATATTTAAGTGGACGAAATCCGGACGAAAGTTTTAGAGAGCGATACCCCTGAATTCAGGGCTCCGTAGTCAGATTCCCATCCCTTGGCCAGGCGGTCCTGGGTTATACCACGCTTGAGCTACTTTTGGGACAGTAATGCGTGGTGCCGTCTCGCTAAATCAGTTGAGAATGCCAAGTGGGTAGTGCACTGCCTATACTACCACATCCTGGATTTACATTTGGATTGAGCCTGCCTCATGTTCAAAACTGAACAGACTTATTGCACTTCCACCAAATTTCGAATGGGAGTTGGAGATGGGGATGCAGGCCGCATATCGTAAAGGAGATCACATCTATTCTGGCCATTTACCGGTCAGAATAGAGAAGGATCTGTTTAAAAGCGGGCAGCCGGTTAATGTAATGGTAGCATCACAGTGGCTGATGACGTGTAGCGTGCAGTTGTGCAGAGCAAATCGAGTTACGCCACTCCCAGTATTTTTCTTTTCTGTGCAAACTTAGACACATGCGATTCAGTTCACCCGGAACCGCATTCCACGTGGTTCGGCGTGCGAACAGCCTATCGCTTCATCTATGTCGAGCAAGAGAGGGAGGAAACGGCTGCCATTTCACAACCGCGCTGGCAGCGGCGCCGCCCCGAAATTCCCGCGCGTAGTCGCGCCTGTCGCTCGCCTGCCGTGCCTCGAAGCGGGCACAGCGGTCACCGCCCCCCCCCCCCCCCCCCAGCCGCTGCAGCCTGGCCGTGCCGGCAGGGGCGACGCCAGGCCGCCGCTTCGGGAGGCCCGCTGGCGGCGGCGCCGCGCCGCTGGCGGCCACCGCGCCTGCTGCTGCTTTCCTGCCGAGTTTTCCGGCGGCCGGCAGCGCTCACGGACTCTCCTTCCTGTCGTGCCGGAATTCGAGCTGATAACAGACAGGCGGGCCGATCCAGACGGCCGCGTGATACGGCCGTTCGCGGCGTTTGCAGCTGGCAAAAGTTGTGTCTCGGTGGTGCAGTGACAGTCTGGAGTTTCCGATGGGAGTGGCTCCAATAATACCCAGTTTTGTGCGCATGTTGGAAATCATGTTGGAATGGCAAACGCTCCGGCATGTAGCGCACTGATTGATGTCTTGCTCCGCGCATAGAGCGTTTGCACGGTTTCCTACATTTTGGCGGTTCCATTGTCTTATCGTTTTAATGTTTTGTCTTTTATTTATCGATATCTGTTATTTACCTACGTAGCCCCTGGACGATAACTTCAGCATAGATAATTACCAGATATTAAACTAGACCGCCTTCGGTGTTAGCCGTGGTTTTACCAGCTGCACATGAGGAAACCACTGGGTGCTGCACTTGAAACGTCGATGTTAAAAGTGCAAGCGAGAAGGCTAAATAAAGACCAAGCACGTGGTACCTGGCGAGCATTGTTGCAAATTGCTAGTCATTTTGATTAGTGTCTCACGGAATCACTATGTTCTAGGAGCTAGAGATGCAGACTTGCGTCCTCGTGTTTAGTGACTAAACACGCCATTATACACGCGAAGTGCCCGTTTTCCTGGAATTTGGAAAAGTACGTTCGTGGTCAGGGGAGACGGTGGCGGTCATTAGCATGGGTAATATGAATGACGATAAGGCATTCCTTTCGACTCTGGTGACAAGTCCGCCTTTTAATGGAGACTAGGCGATTCAATACCTCATGTTTTTTCGTTGGTCGTTTCCGTGGGAAACTTGTAACGATCAAGATTGCTCGATGCTTCAAGGCTGCAATACAAGGCTGCAAGCAGGTCGCTTCTAACTGACCTCACTCGGTGACCTGATGGCCCGCCTCCCGCTCCCTGAGGCCCTGTGATTGGCCAAACGTGGTGCGTCCATGACCTGTCTCCCACCCCCTCTCTGTTGCAGCCCGAGCTGGCGTTCGGGGTCATGTCCGGGCTCTGGCTGGTCGCCAGCATCGTCTACATGGCCGAGATTGTCGGCAGAAACATGGACTATCTGTTCAGGGAGCGAGGATTTCCTCTCAAGATCCTCACGGCTGTGAGTGACCAGTGCCCGACAACGCCTCATCTTACTACAATTCCACTGGCGACTAAAGAGCAAGAGGGTGAAGCTTGCTTCGGACCAATTGAAAACACTTTTGTACATACCACTGCCGTATTCATGCTTGTAAAATGGTTTGGTTTTACAGGGAGGTCAGGTAGTTCTATTATCTCAACTTGGGACGAACACGTTACAATTCTGAACTTTGTTCACTTTTGCGTTGAACAGCTTGCTTGGACGGTTTGCCGGCGGTGGCTGCCTGAACCAAGCACAAACTCTCATGCTTGTGGTCCAACCACACCATGACAACCGGCTCCAAACAAGCAACCATCCGCGATGTGGTACCGAGACGTTAGGAATTCGGGGGCAAGTGAAATGCGAACGAGATGTGTGGAGAAGCGAATATGAAACAAAACTTTGTTACATCAGGGAAGGTTTTTCAGCTGGGTTTATTGATGTTTTTGTTTTTATTCAGCGACGCCAGCTTTGGAAGACCAAAGTTCTCTGGCTCCCTCACAACTTGGCGATATTCTTCGCCTGCCAGAGCGGTAAATATGAATCCACCACCGGAGCCGGGTATAGAATAAAGCCAAGCTGCAAAGCGGCCACAGGATTTTGGTCCGCCAAAGCTGGAGTAGCTGAGTAAAAACAAATAATCTGTTACATAACTTCGAAAGGTATAGCGGTTGTCTGAATGAACAATGCTGACAATTAACAACTGCCCCGGACGCTCAGACATCACGCTCATCAGATCAGATAATCGTCGTGATTACAGTGGACGCCGCACACGATCCGCCATAATGCAAGTGAACGTATAAAACAATGATACAATGGGTTGCCTGACAGTAGCGGGGCACAAATTTATTTCGTCCAATTAGAGCTAGAGTGTAGATGGTACAAGTGGTCACGTTCCATCTATTAAGCACCTAAACAAAGCATCGGTCATGCTTCTTTAACCCCTAAGTAAGCCCGTGTAGGACTACATCTTTTGTAAATAAATACGCTGCAGGTGTCCGCGTGGGGCCATACGCCATCGGGCGCCCTCAGTGACGTAATACCCGGTGAGCCTGTGCGTGACCCGCCGCCGCTGTCGGTAGGTGCTGGCGCTGGCAGCCGCCTGCCTGGACGCGGCGCTCTGCCTGCTGTCGCACCGACACCGCAGCGCCATCTACTCGCCGCAGCTGAAGGCGGCGCCCTCGGTCGAGTCGGGCGCCCGCCCGGCCCAACTCACCATTGGCACACCGCCGGCGCACGAGGCGACGCAGCGCAGCAGCTTCGGCGGTGTGGAGGCGCGGCCGGAGAGGCACCGGATGGAGCGCGCACCCAGCAGTCCACCGTTCGTCGGTCAGCAGGAGGCACGCTTCTCGTTCGCCGCCGCCCCGGCCGCCAACTCGGTCGTCAGCCTGCAGGGGCCGTCCGAGAGCGTGCGCAGGCTGACCGAGAAGACACTCAGCCAGTCGGTGAGCCTGAAGAGCGAGTCTTCGGCGCCAGCGCCGGCCTACGTCCCGGCGCCGACGCCCGAACCGCCGCCGGCCGAAACGCTGGTCTCGAAGCCTCTGTCCGGGCGGCGCGGCTCGGCCGGCTCGGGCGGCGCTGGCGGGGAGCAAGCCACGCGGTCCCTGGCCGGCTCCGCCGACCACATCGGCGGCAAGGCGCGGGGCCCAGGGCGCCTGCCGCCGCTGCCACGCGGGCCGCCGCCGCCGATGACGCCGGCCGGCCGCGCCCGCGCCGCCGGCCGGCCGCCCGCGCCGCCGGCGGCGCAGAAGAAGCCGGCGCAGCTGCGCGCGGGCGCATGGTCGCAGACGCGCGAGATGCGCCGCTCGGTCAGCACGCCCGGGGACGTGGAGGAGCCGCTGGCGGTGGCCGGCACCAAGTTTGCGAGCACAGACTACCTGGCCAGCGATCCGGCCAACCTCAGCTTCAGCCAGCGGCTCAAGATGCTGGAGCAGCGGAAAGCGAACGGAAGCTGAGTGACGCTCAGACCAGACGCAAAGAACTGGCTGTGGCGGGGGGATGCGGGGAGAAATGCGGGGGGGGGGGATGCGGGGGGATGCGGGAGGAGGGATGCTGGGGGGGGGGGGGGGGTAGGTGCGTGTCACGCAGTGGACTTGAATGTGAGGGAGCGCATGAATGCGGCGGTGTGGCGAGCGGGAGCATACCGCAGCGAGAGAGCGCACACTTGCGGGCTGAGAACACGAGAGCAGGCGGATATGGACCGAGAGCCAGACGGGGCGAGCTAGCGTCGCCGTCCCGCGCAGACGGCAGCGTCTGCAGACGGGCAGACGTACGCCGCTTGCAGTCGCTCGCCCGGCGCGGGCGGACGCAGAATCTGCCCATTAGCTCCAGCTGCCTCGTTTGATGACGCCGTTGCTTGTCGTCAGCTCCTATCATAACAGACGCCAGCGCGCCCTGAGACGGGACTGAGGGGGAGGGGGGGGGGGACGCCGGGCAAGACCGGCGCCGGCTCACCCCGGCGTGGCTGTGTCGTGAGGTCACGTGCCGACAGGCGCCAGGAGCGTGTGCTGGCGTCGCGCGCGGCCGGGCACAGGTCCGGGGGCGGCGCCACGGACACGGCGTGAGAGTATGGCCGGTGGGACCCGCCCCCGGGGTTCCCCGTTAACCCTGATGTTTTCTGTCACGCACTTGTCGCTTCATAGAAGGAGTGTCCCGAGAATGCCGCCAGGCTTGCAGTCGACATGCGGCAACGCCTTAGAACACTGTAGTATGCACGTGCCAACTAGCTGATATTTTCGTGACCTGTACCATGTGTTCTACTGCTGAGGGCAGGGTGGGAAGTGCACGGGGCAGGTGCCCTGTGCCCGCCCTGCGCCCGCCTTGTGTCCGCCAGTGGCAGAGTGAGCTCATCACGTGTCAGACGTGAGGGACATGTCGTCTGCTCGTTGCCACTTCACCGACACGTAAACGGCACTGACAGGAGCCGACTCAGTCCATTGCCGGGCTGTTTACATCCGTCTGTCCACTGCGCGGATCCGTGTTTACTGCTTATGCCATCGGCGGCGAGGAACGCTGCATCATAATGCGCCGAGGCGTCCGTACGAGCCCGTGGCATCACCGGGTCGATTCACATGTGCCTTCCGGCTCGGCTCCCCTGTCTGCAGCAGCCTGCAAGCACGCACGACCTTGCACTGCTGCAGGCCCTTCTTTGGTTTGTTTTGCGAAAAGCACGCGTGCGCGCAGAGGTGTTGCAAAATGACCAAAAATGGCAGTGTTGTGATGACGGTGCGGAGTTCATATATCCTGCTATTTATGGATGTAGTTATCTGTGTGCGGTGTGATACGTTATTTATCTGTTCGTGTGTGAATCTTCATACGTGATTCATGACTGCTTCCTAGGAAGCGTATACATCGTCGAGTGAGCACCGTCACGACGCTGCTGCTGAAGACTTCCCTCAATAAGGAGACACCCATGCGACCAAAGGTCCATGTTTGTGTGTCCTCAACTACGAGCCTCCATTGCATTGACGAACACGCTCGCATCACTTTCACCCTGAACAGACGGACGAAATACACTGCCGATCGTCACGTCTCGTATGTTTCAATTCGTGATAGTGTAACTTCAGTTGTTCACACGCTGGCATACGACCGGGATGCAACTATTGCAACGCGGGAGAAGGATGAAAGAGGGTTCAGACTTTCAGCTCTTTTCGCACGCCCTCCATCGCGCGAGATGCCGAGGCGCCATGAAATGGTAGCCATAATTCGGGTTCAGCATCACCATTGCATTGCATTCCACTAAGCTGGCGTTGCGTCACCGTGATGTCACCAAGCTGGCGTTGCGTGATTGCAATGTATCCCACATGTTGGACATTAATGAGGCCAACACCTGACCCGTGCGGGATGGCTGATCGTGACATCGGCAGGCACGGTCGCCTTCAGTTGAAGTCACACGGCTGGGTGCGCAGCGCACTTGGGTGCACTGGTGCCGTGATTGCAAGTACATGAGAAGCAGTGCTCAACTGAAAAGCTCGGACCACACCGCCCCTGAGTTGTGTCAATGGTGCTGACGACGGGTAACGAAGCCCGCCTCCTGAATGACCTTTCTGTTCCCAGCGGGTTGACAAAGTTGACCTCTACCAGAAATGGACAGGAGCTACCCCTCCCTCCCCCCCCCCCCCGGGGCGTCGGCGCGTTGCAAGTAGACACAAGCCGGGTCTGTGCCAACGATTGGCGACAAGAGCATCAAGAGAAGGTACCAAAGCACTTCGAATGCTTAACCATCGGTTAAGGGACCATTGGCTGTCAATGAAGTGCTTATGAGGGTATTTGCCGGTGATCTATCCGTGCATTGCTTTTGTATTGGTGGTAATCCCATGCTTCAATGTGCCTGTGGACGGTGGGAGATGACGAACGCCTGAGATGTTCCTCATCCTTATAGTCATGTCGCCTTAGTACCCATGGGTATGCAACCCCGGGCGGCGGGCTCATGAACTACCGCTCCCTGCGGAGATATGCTGGTACTAGTGAAGTTGGAGATCCGTCTCACTGGGAGACGGACGCGGCCGCCAAACCCCACGCCGCGCTCGCACCTGGGGCGCCAGTACGGCGGATATTTTTAGACGGGCCCGGCGCCGTCGGGGGAGGCACGCCTCTCCTCTCCAGACACGTGGCGAGTGAGGTGTGGAGTGCGCGGCGGCCACCTCTACACGACGTAGGCCCATCCCCTGGTGACACGGTGAGTCGACTTTCTCACCCGCCTCGCAGTGCGGTCGCCTCTGGCCGCCACAGAGCGTCGGCGCCTATCCGTTTGTCCGGTTGCCTGACGTTGCGGGGTGGGGCGCCGGCGTGACGTCACAGGGACGGCGGCGGGCGGTAGTGACTGGAGGGCACTGGGACGGAGGTGCGTCCGGCCTTGCGTCCGAGCTGCGGCCTCGTGCCACGCGTTCGGGCTGAGTCACATCCACTCCCCAGCATGGTGGACTGCATAAGGAGCCTTCCTGCTCGCCACCCACCAGGAATCTTCGGCCTTGGGAGCGTGTCTGCATGTGGGACTGCGTGTTGAATGCTTGGAAAAGCTGCACAGAACATGCATTCGTCGTGCAAACACCAGCACGTCACGATGATGAAGCCTTCGTGATGTCACCAAGCTGCCATCACATGCAAATTTAAGCGAGGCTGTCCGACACGCAACAGTTAACGTGACAGCAAAAACAACATTTAACGGGTCTCGCAGTGTCATAGCGAATAAACTGCCCGCTGTGCTCAATAACAGACGCTAAATGCAGCCGTTTTTCAATAATAAACACACGCAAAGTCACTCTAGCAAGAATTTGTGATGCCGGTCTCTAAAAACGTTTAACCGCGGGTACAAAACGTTGTTCTGGCACTGCTTGAAATGTGTCATTAGTTTTCGTGACTAGATTTGCACTAGATTCTTTGAAAAATCCAGGTTTTCCACCGACGTTTTCGAGTCGCTCGTTAAGTGACACGATTCAGACACTTACGTCTGAACTCGTGCTATTGAGGCCAGCGGGAGCAATATCCGCTGACGCCGCGCGCACGATACGTTTTCAGTCGCAACGTTTACAGACTCGCGATCAGTTGAAAGCCAAAGCTAAGGCTAGAACGTTTAAGATTACTAAAAGACACTGTTCCCAATGTGCGACAAGGCCTCCAGTTTTATGAACATCTTGGGCACGATGTGCTCAGGATCGGTCTAGGCTTGTAATATCGAGTACGCTTAAATCGATTCAGCAACATTATTTTCTAACGTAAGTAGCCCATCAGGTCATCATATCAGACACTTTAAAACTACATCATGAGGCGTTGCGTGATGAGTAGCCACCCGTTATTCAGTATTAATCATTATAGATTTTCAGACATTCGTCAACGATAATTGACTCATTCACGACTGGGTATGCCATTGTCGTCTCCATGCTAACGCGTATAATACTATCGGCGTGTATCATACTACGTGTGTAAAATGTCTTCGCATATTGAAGCTTCGAGCGCTTACGGCATATACACACGTACATGTATATATATATATATATATATATATATATATATATATATATATATATATATATATATATATGACTTAACAATACAGCACAATTCAAGAGAGCGTGGTAGGATGAAGCGATGACAATAACAAAACTAATGATGGACACAAATCATTTTGTGGATAAAGTATGACCGCGTTCAGAATTCTTGCCGTGTTTCTAACAAAGACGGATTTTTTGGTTGAGAAAAGGTTTTTGCCTACCTTGTGACCCAAAACATTGAGTGGCTGTTACAACCTTCAAGAATGGGGGGGGGGGGAGGGGGCAATCACATTGCGACTGGCTGTAGGCTTAGGTTGTAACAGCGTTTGGTTTTGGACGCATTTTAGAATTATGTCTCGTGGAAGGAGCTTCCCGTAGGCTGCAACTCTAGTTCATGGAACGTGTCCACAGGTCACCACAGCAGTAAATCATGCTTTATTTTTTTTGCGGTTGCATGCCTTTTACTGTTCAAACGCTGTGAAGGGCTAGCGTGTTTGTACAAGTGCTGTGGACTAGCAAATTGCGCTCTTCCTGTGTCAGGGCACTAACTTTATATTTTGGCCATCGGTTAAACGTACCGGCCCTGCCTCACGTCCCCAGTCATCAGCCAATGCAGCCATCCCCAAAATACGCACAGCTGTGCGAATCCACTGTGGGAACTAGCGATGCTGTAGTACGCTCAGCGACGTAGCTCTGTCCTGACCCCTCTCTGAGGCGTCAGAGTGCGGTTCGTCCGCCTTCTCACACTTTCGCCTCGCCGGCCGCAGACACTGTGCCGCGATGATCTCGACCGTCAGTCGCGGCGTTCCCATGCGGACAACGCGAGGTCAGGTCAGGTCAGACAGCAGGAGCGGCTGTAGCCCGTGCGCCTGCTGCTGCTGCGGCTGCTGCCGCTGCCTCAACCTCAGCTTTCTCAGGACCCGGATCGGCCTGCTGAAGCTGGTAGAAATGGTGAGCTCCTGATCAAACGACAGTTAGACGTCTGATTATTGTGGCCCTGTTGTTCGACTGCGATGGTGAAGTACAGAGCATAGTGCAGTGGCTAAATGCGTTTAGTTCATGTGCATGCACACATGAAAGGCAGAGGTGGTGACTGTCCTTTGAGGCGTGCTCGCCCTCACTGTCGCCCATATGAGGTGTCTCTGTGATAACGTCATTATATAGAATAAGTAAATAGATACATACTTCAAATACATTGATGATAAACATGATGAGCGTTAAGTTCACACCGACCGTCACAAGGTCAGAGCTCGGTCACGCTACGCTGCCGGCAGGCACTCGGCGGCATATGCCAGAGCCTGCTGATCAATTACGGCATCGGCTACTCCGCCTCGCTGGGTCACGCCTACTCGATCTTCCTGACGACGGCCTGCGCCTGCCTCTTCAGCACCGGCATACTGCTGCTCTGTTACCTGGTCTCCGCCCCGTCTGTGGCACTTATCCGACAGTCGATATTTGTGAGTACTGGATGTCTGTCAGGCAGTCAATGTTTGTGAGCACTGGACAGCCAGGTGTGGGGCAGGCAGCCATTGTTCGTGAGTACTGAGCGCCTGTTAGGCAGTCGTTGTTTGCGGGTACTGAACGCCTGTCAGGCAGTCATTGTTTGTGGGTACTGAACGCCTGTCAGACAGTCGTTGTTTGCGGGTACTGAACGCCTGTCAGGCAGTCGTTGTTTGCGGGTACTGGATGCTCGTGCGATAATCAAAGTTGTGAGAAGCTCGTCCTTAGCGCTCGCCAAGCCATCGTGTTTTGAAAGTGTCAGGAAAGCTTGTCCTCGGTGCTCATCAAAACTGTTGCTGTTTTAGGTAAGGTACGTTTGTATGACCCGGTGACATGACAAAGACTGTTCGGCTGTTGAGCTTAACAAATTGTGTGCGTCTTGACAATCTCAACGCCATTAACAAGAGACATATTTGCTTGGGAATGTGTCGTTTTGCTAGATGAATGACATTTCACTGACTACCAGACAACCTTGTTGCTCCTCCGCATCCAGGACATCAACGAACAAAGGCGCAACCGACGCAGATCACATCCTTGAACGCAACGTTTTGGTGGCAAAGAGCGGGCAGGCACCCTTTGCGCTGTGACCCACCAGCCGCAGACGCGGTCTACTGATGCTGCCACTGCGCGCCTCGCTGACTGGCTCTCTTCTCTGGCCGGCAGGAGACGCTGTTCAACGGCGTGGCGGCCGTGCTGTACCTGGGCGCCTCAGCGTTTCTTTCCTTTACCGTACAGTCGGTGTTGTGGCCACAGTATGTGGTGACTCCTTACTTCCAGGTGTATCCAGCGCTCACTGCCGCCTACGTGAGTCGCGTCTTTCCGTGGTGCCCACTCACTGGGCATGGCTTGGCTCCCCGTCAAAGTCTTGCTTCTTTCTTTCTGCTTCATTTCTGGCCCAAAATAACAGTGCGCATGCTCATGACCGGGAAGTTGTGACTTTCATGGCAATCATACGCGCCTACGGCAAATACCGCGTACACTGAAGGTGAGTATTCGAATCTCACTATTGTTTGACATCCGCATGCCTGCATGATCCGCAGTTGGAACTGACGGGGCGGGGCGGGGAGATGAGGGGTGGAACTGGCTGCTGACAATTCAATACGTGAGATTTTGACATGCTTATATATATATATATATATATATATATATATATATATATATATATATCTCTCTCTCTCTCTCTCTCTCTCTCGCTCTCTCTCTCTCTCTTACTCTCATTTGTCTAGTCTACTGTCTACTGTCTTCTGTCTTCATTTACGTACTTGCTCTGAAAAAAACTAACGTATCGCATTCACATAGTTTTTCACCAGAGGCCTTGTACAATCCACCCGGAAAACTCCTTCAAATATCCCAATCCACAATTTGAAACCGCAAATCCAGTGCTTCCGAAGGTTTGCTCCATTCAGTGCATTTACATAACAAAGGGAATTTTTGTTAACCGCCCAATGTTAACAGTCACCATCGCCTGTCAGCCACCTCCCAGCTCCTGAAGCCTCAGGCTCAGAGATTATTCAACTCAATCCACAGTCAACAATTCTTCACCCCTCTCGCGTCTCTGCTGGCAGTGCCTGGGCCTGGTCGTCGGCTGTGTCCACGGGTACGACGCGTTCCTGGCGTACCGCTGGTACCGACACCGGCAGTGACGTCACAGACGAAGCCACCTCCTCTCCGAGGGGGCGGGCGGATAATCCTCCCAGTGAACAGAGTTCACGCACCACGGCGCGCGTCATTTGTCTCATCGCCATAACGCCAAGACGCGACATATGGAGCAAAACATGCTCTTGAAATTTTCCTGTTGACCATGGTCACTTTCCGCGTACTTCTGTGGCCTAACTTGTGGTCTCGACCGCGGTAGGCATCCACCTGCACAAATCTCTTATTGAATATTTTATTTCTATCTGCGACTGCCGTGAGGTTTCTGTCACGCGATGGTGTTCGGCTTTCTGTCACGCGATGGTGTCCGGCTCTGTGTCACGTGATGGTGTTCGGGGCACGAAGACGTTGGAGACACGTGACTGGGACACCGCATGCACGCACGGAGGCACTGCGAGCGTTACGCTGTGAGAGTAAAACAGCGAGACGCTCAAATATTCCCGGAGCCGCGCATAAGAGCGAAACTGTCGTGCGCGACATGTTCGGGTGGTACTGCTTGCGATTGCAAAGCGTTGTCGTTTGCTCGCTTGTGAATTGTGTTGTTGCAATTTTCCACATCCGTATTACTCGCTAACCGTAAATCCATTTAGGTAGATCATCAAGTGCATGTTTTTGGATATTTGATGTTTACAAATACACGGTCTGTGGCACTTTCTCGTCTGCATCATTGGTAATGTAAATACTATGATGCGGACCTTAAAGGTTGCCGCACACTGAGAGGGCGCAGCTAGAATTTGCTACAGGAGTGGCTGCCATGATTTGAGGCGGGGATTAAGTTTTTTCGAGTCAGTCTCAGTGGTGTTGACAGTATCTACGCACTGCAGAATATTAGCAACCCCCCCACTCCCCCCACGCTAACAGAAAAAGTACCTAGCGTATCAATGAGCTATCGATGTTGGTTTGTTGTGGTGCCTTAACACGCGCTTGGGCGGGGGTCAGATTGACCCACTGAAGGTTTTTCCGGAATGATTTCCGAACAACGCGGCGCAGCCACGCTACATTTTGCATAGCTATATACAATTTAATGTCGTATCGTTTGACACTAAAAAGTTAGATGTACTTTATTAGGTCACTGACCTACGGCAGGTCAAAGTCAGGCCATTGGTGCTGCGAAGTCAATGTCATGGGAATCGTTCAATCTGATGCAACATCGGATTGTTAGACGAAACTATACATCACTGAAATGCTTTCTTAGGCAACGCAACAATTGAATGGACAAATTGCGTTGACCTCAGGTCATTTTTAAGCGTCAGTCCAAGGGCAAAGCTTGCCTGATTCATTACTCCAGGGCTTGCTGTACGGCGTAGTTTCTGGTGCTCATTACGAATTTATTGATAACAGGAACCGCCTTGTACATCTTCCATGCACTTCTCAAAGGTCAGAATAGGCCACTGGCCTAAAAGGACCCAGGCCAACATTTTTTTTTTAAAGAACATACTGCCTGGCGTAATCGTTTTCACTAATTCAAATGCAAAACTCAAAGCAGTCTTGTATGATCTTGGTCACCATGACCTTCAAAAGGTCGAACAACGTCACTGACCCTAAATGATCAGGCGACCTTTGGTCAGAACAGGTATCTAGGTTCAGGGGGTACTTTGAAGACCAAATTGGAAATTGACTTTGTCAGACCTTACTTGACCCGAAGGTCATGATGTAGTCTCAAATTTTGACCTAAGTGAGTTCAGGTACAGGCCAATACACCCTGTAAATTTGGTGTCTCTAGCTTTCTTAATTTCCGAGATCTCTAGGCGTCAAACTGACCCCACACCCGAGCGAAGGGTATCCAACCGGCCACCCGGGCGCGTGTTCATCAATTGTTTCATTTGAGCACCATGCATATTACTCGGCTATCCACCAGTCTTGTTTCCAATTACGACTGTTGGGCTCCACACATCGCTGCCCATGATAAAGCCTTTGATATTTGCTTACTTTCCTACCCACCAAATTCCGAGATTATGTTCATAAGTGTCGTGGTGAAAAATGCGCTCGAACTTACCTGATGGAGGATGGGGGTGAAGGGGAAGGGTTGCCTCGTGAGTTCTTGGCTACGCTACTGCTTGCGTTACATTGCAACCTGAGGTTCCACCTTGTGTTCTTCAGGATCGTTGTTTAAAGCCCCAATCACTGTTATTATTGCGTACTTACCTTCTCGTACGTACCCTTCTCAAATGCGGCAATTATTTCAGGTTTTTAACACCAGGCCTATGACAATACTCAGAGCAAATAACTTAAAAACGTCAAAAACGTTGGAATCCTGCCATTTTTTGGAAATATTGCTCCCAATCGTGATCTGAAATGGCCATAATCATAAGCCAACAAACGTTGCTGCTCTTTTGAGAGGAAAATCCTGCAGATACCTTACATCATGCACGCAACTTGCATCGGGTCCAGATCGTCTATATATTGCGCCATCAGATAGCAGAAAATCCATCGTATTGCATTATAATGCTTGCGTGACTAAACCAGAGGCCAATGGAGCATAACGAAGAGCGATGCGTGGAAAAGATCCATAATTAACACGGACCGCACTTTCGGGCACCGGCGTCTTCGGCGATCACATTAGCGCAATGTGCTTTGACTTAACCGGGATTCGAGTCTGGTTCGCACATGGGCATCTGGGTGGTCCCTGCCACACTCCTGTCAGTGAGATCTTCCTAAATGCCTGAACATACGAGGGCCAACAAACGGAGAGCGTTACCAAACGCAGACCTCTTAAATAATTTAAGTCTTCTAAAACACTCCTCTGCTCCAAGCCGCTTTAAGTGCTACCATTTTTGGGACATAATATGCGCAGAAGTGACGCGCCAAAATCATACCGGCGTCAAAGTCTGAAGGCTACATTGTGCACGGTGTTATGGTACGGCATTAGGTGTACAGGTCTAGGTGTTCAGAAGTCATCAGGTTCGTTTGCCATCAGAACTTGGTCGGACATTGATGCCCCAAATAATGCAATATGCCAGTCCGCCTGCACTTAAGCTATTGTTGCTGGTAACTGCCTGGTGCCAATCACAACGTTGGGAGATACGTGTTAAGCTTGCTTTTATCAGTTTTGGGCTGGTAACTGAGAGGTTAAAAGATACACATTGATTTAATTTTTTTGTGGGCAAGGATTATGACATGTGCAAAAATTAGATTGAATTAAGGGGATTGTAATTGCCAAGCTGTGCAGGTCAGTAGTGCCTGTGATGCTTCAGTGATGCATTGATATCATTAGTGCCAAGGTAAAATTATGCTCAAGCTGCCTTTTTCATGACTTTTCAGAGTAGTTTTACACAAAGTTGTCACTGCAATATTTTAAGCCCTGAAAGCATCAACTGTAGGCATAGATGGCTGGAGACAGTTCAGCAAACCCGTCACTAAGGGTTATGGCACACATCCAGTAATGCTTTGAGTACATTTAAGTGCTGCAGCATTTGATGCAACCTGTGTTGCCCTTTGATATAACCAGACCATAAATAAGTGCTGCTGCTGCCACCACGTACAGGCCATCCTAGTCAACAACAGTTTTGGAGTACTTTATGTGACCAGTCCACCCAGCCACGGGTGGGTGGGGACAGGCATAGATGTAAGGCATGAATGTTATGGGTGTGCATGTTCTGTGACAGAAAATTACATTCCCTTGAAGGACCAGGGAGCAGGTCAATCAAAATCCAGTTTCACACCGCACCCCATTAAGAGAAAGTTCTTGGGAGATATATCTCCATATTTTATGAAAACTGATCATTTAGAATCACACCAATATGGTCCAAGACCAGTTTAGGCCTGGAACTGCATAAAAAAGCATTAATTTTATAACTAGATTGTAGGAGACATGGCTCATGCAACAGTTGACAGGCACTGCTTAGCTTGAGTGAGATACATTCACTTAAAAGTGTCTTACTGGACCTTTAAAAATGAAAATGATGCAATGCCTGCAATAAATCCTTCAGCATCTTCTTCCCATGTATATGTCCATATTATTACATGTTTATGAATATACCACTTCTTATTCAGATTATTTTTTGACTTGAGTGCAAATGTTATTTTGTGCAATTGCATTGAGATGGCAGGTGTGATTAAAGCTTGTGTGTGCACACTGACCCTGCTTCTGAAGTTTTGCAATCAAATTAGAATGCAGGATGTTTGCAGCTTCAAAAAAGCATCTGCTCCTTCACATGCTATTTGTTTATGTATTGAATGGCACATTTCCTATTTGTTTCAAAAATGAGTTCAGTAGCATTCCTAATGCTCTTTCTGCCATTGCACACTTCCATCTGCTCCTTCACATGCTACTTGTTTTTGCAATAAATGACACATTTCCTACTTGTGTTGCCAAGCCAATATGTGCACACTGCAAAATGGCTAGTATATGCCTTGTACAATTGCATAATTTCATTAGGTCAAGTAGGTATGCCATGTGCTCAGCATAAAAGCTAAGGCTTTATTATCAAACAGTAACATTTTCAGTTGCTACACACATTTGGGCAATAAAAAGCAATCCTGGTAAAGGAGGGCCCACATCAAAATACATGTTTGGATTTTCTGTCATTATGAAAATGTGCATGATTTGATATCTCTTTCGCCAAGCCGAATCAATGGGTCCACCATGCCCTGTCACCAATGGTTATAATATTTATTTTTATTGGATTTCCACTAATGCCACAATGTCTGTAACCTATTTTCAGCCTAAATCTCACATGGTGTTGGATCACCTGAGAACATAACCATGAACACAGACCATGGAGCCACAGATGCTGATCAGCTGACTGCCAACACAGCATTTGTGGCAATTGATAAAGGTGAGCTGAGAAGTAATGACACACCTCTATGTCACATATTTTTCACATACCTGGAAGTACTTTTTAATTGCTTTGATTGCATGGAAGGTCATAGAAGGTATGTGCTAAACTGCATCAATTACTGTGTTGTGATCATACCAGCACTTTCTTGACTGTTTTTCTGAAGGTGAGGAACATTGTTTTTACACTGTATTCTTGATCTTCTTTCATGTGACCTATGAGGAAAATTTATTTGTGATACCTATTGGTGTGGTGTTGTTTTGATTAATCATGATTTAATACATTATGCATGGAAACTTATTTCATCTTTGAAGTGTGTACACACTGTGTGGTAATTGTGCCTGATATGATGTTCATGAAAAGTAATGTCAGATAATGCTAGCATTTAAAACATCTGTGTTAGTGTTTTACCTTTTGCCATACTTTGTGCACCCTTCTCTTTTTGGCAGGGCTTCTCTCAGGAAAAGTCAATGAACAAGTGGAGGCAATTGTCAAGTTTCCAGCTCTTTTTGATCGTCATCCATTTCCACTGCTGATCAACTCGTCCATGCTGAAGCTGGCGGATGTCTTCCGCATTGGGTCAGTGGCCAGGGTTCAGTTGTGAGCAGGTTTTGCTAGTACTGGTGTCAATATAAAGGATGATATTGGTAAAGCATGAAATAGTTACGCCTAGAGTGGAGCTCATCAGCGAACCTGAAGCCGACCCGAAAGGTTTGCATTGCTTGGTACGCGGCGTTCGGGATGGTTTCATTCTATCGTTGTCAATGCTTGATTGTCTAATCTCTTGTGTAATCTATTGTCTAATGTATTTTCTAATCATTGATGGCTGTTCAAAATCACACACTATGCTGATGTCTACAACCAGACCGCGGTAGCACTCCAGTGTCGAAGTGAAGACCCGCGAAGTAATAAGCTGATGACGCGTCGTCCGACAGCTACGACGCCTGCCTGCTGACCTGGCCGACCTGACCCACTGACCTGGCCGATCTGATCCACTGACATGGGTGACCTGACACACTGTCCTGACTTGCTGGCCTGACCTGCTGACCTGGCCGACCTGATCTGCTGACCTGGCTGACCTGACTCTCTGACATGGCTGACCTGACCCACCACCCTGGCTGACCTGACATGCTGGCCTGACATGCCGGCCTGACGTGCTGGCCTGACCCATTGACCTGGCTGACCTGACAAGCTGGCCTGACCTGCTGACCTGACCTGCTGACATGGCCGACCTGCCCCGCTGATCTGGCCGACCTGACACCCTCACCTGACCCCCTAACCTACCCGACCTTACCCGCCGACCTGGCTGACCTGACCTGCTGATCTAACGCTCCACTGCGCGGGCAGGTCAAACTTCACTCGGCTCTGCATCCTGCGCGTATGTCAACAGAGCGAGCGCCACCTGGATAAGATCCTCAACGTGGACGAGGTCGTCCGCCGGATCTTCTCTGTCACTCACTCCAACGACCCTGTGCGTCCCCTGTTGGTGGCCGGGGGGTTTTCGGACGTTCTCGCGCGATATGACCTCTTTATAGTCCGCGTGTTGTGTTTTGGTGCGATGGCGTTCGTTGGCCATGATTGATGCATTTGGTGTTTCATGTTCTGATGGCCTCTGATGGATTTCTGATGGCGAGCTGCGATGCTCTTAGTGCTTTTACGTCTCATGTTCGCGTTCGTAAAGCTGTGATGCTCTTATTGTTGTTTATCTTGCGATATTCCTTCGATATTTGGCTCTTAGAATGAGCTCCAACCACGGGGAGCCACTCGGGAAGCTAAACCAGCAAACCACCGTTACTTTTTCTGAGCCTAAGCTTACTTCAGACCTTCTGGGCTTGTAGGGCTAAAACTGCGCACCGTACATGGCCAAGTGTTTAGAGCCATTGTCCGGAGACCGAAAGATCTGAGGCGTGATTGGTGCCACAGGAAGTCTAGCCCAGCGTCGACTATTGCATGATTGCGCTGATGATCCCGTCAGTATCGCGCGTCGACAAACGGGGGCTGACGAGTGTCCTAGACAGGGCGGGAGTCGGGCGCCACGAGCCGATCCCGTCCGTGCGTCACCATACGACTGACGTCAGGCCGCTACGGACACCTGTCGCCACGATGTCCTGGCGTTACTCCGCCTGGACACTGCGGCACGAGGCCGAGCGGCCGGGTGGGGCGCCCGTTACCGCTGCCCGCCCGTGCTCCGGCAGGTGGCGCGCGGCCTGGCGCTCAGCACCCTGGGCAGCCTGAGCGCCATCATCCCGCAGCGCAAGCAGGTGCACCACAGCATCCGACAGGCGCTCGACTCGCGGGACCCGGCCGAGCTGGAGGCCGGGATCGTAGCCGCGCAGCGCTTCGCCGCCGTCTCCAAGACGTTCGCCACCAACATCAGCGAGCGCATCTCGGAGATGGTGCAGGGCGTCACCACGCCCGTCGACATCAAGCTCAAGCTGCTCAACATCCTGCAGCACATGCACCACGACACGCAGACGGCGGCCGCGGTGCGTGGGGTTGGGCCAGTCGGACCCGAGCGCGGGTCTCACCGGTCGACAGGTGCATTGACGGGAACTGTCATGATATGATCTGAGCTTGTGACCGTCGAGTGGTGGAGCCGATGGGCTGCACTTTCAGATCCAACCTGTGATAAGTATATCATTATGTAGTCTAACAGAATGAAGCGGTCCCAATGCTCTTCACTGAGGGCTGCGCGCGCGGTCCAGTTGTGGGTCTGATTCACTGAGGGCTGTGCGCGCGGTCCAGTTGTGTGTCTAATTCTCTGAGGGCTGTGCGCGTGGCCCATTTGTGGGTCTGATTCACTGAGGGCCGCGCGCGCGGTCCAGTTGTGGATCTGATTCACAGGGCTGCGCGCGCGGTCCAGTTGTGGGTCTGATTCACTGAGGGCTGTGCGCGCGGTCCAGTTGTGGGTCTAATTCTCTGAGGGCTGTGCGCGTGGCCCAGTTGTGGGTCTGATTCACTGAGGGCGCGCGCGGTCCAGTTGTGGGTTGATTCACAGGGCTGCGCGCGCGGTCCAGTTGTGGGTCTGATTCACTGAGGGCTGTGGCGCGGTCCAGTTGTGGGTCTGATTCACTGAGGGCTGTGCGCGCGGTCCAGTTGTGGGTCTGATTCACTGAGGGCTGTGCGCGCGGTCCAGTTGTGGGTCTGATTCACTGAGGGCTGTGCGCGCGGTCCAGTTGTGGGTCTGATTCACTGAGGGCTGTGCGCGCGGTCCAGTTGTGGGTCTGATTCACTGAGGGCTGTGCCGCGGTCCAGTTGTGTCTGATTCACTGAGGGCTGTGCGCGTGGCCAGTTGTGGGTCTGATTCACTGAGGGCTGTGCGCGCGGTCCAGTTGTGGGTCTGATTCACTGAGGGCTGTGCGCGCGGTCCAGTTGTGGGTCTGATTCACTGAGGGCTGTGCGCGCGGTCCAGTTGTGGGTCTGATTCACTGAGGGCTGTGCGCGCGGTCCAGTTGTGGGTCTGATTCACTGAGGGCTGTGCGCGCGGTCCAGTTGTGGGTCTGATTCACTGAGGGCTGTGCGCGCGGTCCAGTTGTGGGTCTGATTCACTGAGGGCTGTGCGCGCGGTCCAGTTGTGGGTCTGATTCACTGAGGGCTGTGCGCGCGGTCCAGTTGTGGGTCTGATTCACTGAGGGCTGTGCGCGCGGTCCAGTTGTGGGTCTGATTCACTGAGGGCTGTGCGCGCGGTCCAGTTGTGGGTCTGATTCACTGAGGGCTGTGCGCGCGGTCCAGTTGTGGGTCTGATTCACTGAGGGCTGTGCGCGCGGTCCAGTTGTGGGTCTGATTCACTGAGGGCTGTGCGCGCGGTCCAGTTGTGGGTCTGATTCACTGAGGGCTGTGCGCGCGGTCCAGTTGTGGGTCTGATTCACTGAGGGCTGTGCGCGCGGTCCAGTTGTGGGTCTGATTCACTGAGGGCTGTGCGCGCGGTCCAGTTGTGGGTCTGATTCACTGAGGGCTGTGCGCGCGGTCCAATTGTGGGTCTGATTCACTGAGGGCTGTGGCGCGGTCCAGTTGTGGGGTCTGATTCACTGAGGGCTGTGCGCGCGGTCCAGTTGTGGGTCTGATTCACTGAGGGCTGTGCGCGCGGTCCAGTTGTGGGTCTGATTCATGAGGCTGGCCGGGTCCAGTGGGGTCTGTTCACTGAGGCCTGTGCGCGGTCCAGTTTGTGGGTCTTGATTCACTGAGGGCTGTGCGCGCGGTCCAGTTGTGGGTCTGATTCACTGAGGGCTGTGCGCGCGGGTCCAGTTGTGGGTCTGATTCACTGAGGGCTGTGCGCGCGGTCCAGTTGTGGGTCTGATTCACTGAGGGCTGTGCGCGCGGTCCAGTTGTGCGTCTGACCTGACGGTGTGGCCCGACAGGTGCGGACAGCTTGTCTCCGCCTCTTGCCCAGCTTTCCGTCGGAGCAGTTCGTCATGACCACGCTGAACGTGCTCACCAAGCTTGCCGCGCAGACACTGGTGGACATCCCGGAGCAGGTCGGTAGCAATGCTGCGGCTCCAGCGCACAGCGGGGACGGCTTATGGCCGGGTTTTCACTCCGCACGACTGGGCGACTAAGGTGCTTGCACACGCCAGACATTTAGAGACATCGTTGTCACCTTGCGGGATGATGCATTTTGTGTGTGTGCGTGCGTGCGTGCGTGCGTGCGTGCGTGCGTGCGTGCGTGCGTGCGTGCGTGCGTGCGTGCGTGCGTGTGTGCGTGCTTGCGTGCTTGCGTGTATCGGGTGGTCGTGATTAGGGCATTTCAATGCTGTCCACCGCAAGAGAGGCGCAGCCATACCGTATTTGTATAATTGCCTTATCCGGATGACCTAGTGCTGCGCAGGTCGGGTCTTCGCTGTACTGGGCGCGGTCGGTGTCGGGATCGTATTCCCACCATGTGTTGGCGACGCGCCTGACGTGTGTGACCTGCGGTTTGGCAGCGTTTGACGTGCATGCCTCGTCTGCCAGTGGAGCGGCGTCGGACCGTGTGGTGAGAGCTGCGCCTGACCCCATGCTCGCCCGTCAGGTGGACCTGCTGTTGGGCTACCTGAACAACGACGTCCGCCGGGCGGTGAAGTCAGCCGTGCTGCGGGACCTGCTGGAGCTCTCCAGACAGGCGGCGCCGCTCTGGTCCCAGGTCAGGCTTCCCCCCTTCCCCTCCCCTCGCCCGGTGAGTGCAGGGGGAGCTGCTGAAGCTCTCCAGACGGGCAGCGCCGCTCTGGTCCCAGGTCAGGCTTCCCCCCTTCCCCTCCCCTCCCCCGGTGAGTGCAGGGGGAGCTGCTGAAGCTCTCCAGACGGGCGGCGCCGCTCTGGTCCCAGGTCAGGCTTCCCCTCTTCCCCTCCCCTCCCCCCGGTGAGTGCAGGGGGAGCTGCTGGAGCTCTCCAGACAGGCGGCGCCGCTCTGGTCCCAGGTCAGGCTTCCCCCTCCCTTACCCTCCCCCCGGTGAGTGCAGGGGGAGCTGCTGGAGCTCTCCAGACAGCTCTCCAAACATTCCCGCTGCCGGTGTCCTGGCGCCCAAACCGTACGCCTCCGATTACTGAAGCCGCCGCCGGTGGGGTCCCAGGAGAACCAGTCGTCGCTGATCGAGTTCGCCGCCGGCACGCGCTACACGGCTGTGAAGACGGCGGCGCTCTCCGTGCTGGTGTGCCTGGCCCGCTCGGTCTCGGTGCGCCAGTTCGACCTGGCGCCGGACGGGCCACTGATGAGACTCTGCCGCGCCGGCGCCTGCCACCAGGAGGCGCGCGTGGCCGGCCGCGCCGTCCAGCTGCTCACCGCGCTCGCCGTACACTGGTGAGAGCGCGTGCAGGGTTGGGAGGAAGGGGAGAGTGGGAGGGAGCGAGATAGGAAGGGAACGACGAGATGAGAGGTGGACACATGCAATGTTTGCTCAGAATGGGTGCTTGTGTTGACAAGGCTGGGGTGATGAAAGGATGAGAATGCAAACGCTTCTTAAAAAGATTCCAGGTCAGAAGAATGGGATACTTCCGATGCTGGAAGTGAGGATAATACAACTATGTTGCCATGTTAGAGGAACAGCATTGTACTGATTTGAAAGCTGTGACAAGGGGGTAGGAGTGCAGGGAGAACGATTCCGAGTTAATATTCAGGAGACCAGGACGTGGGCGATGTGGATGACCGTCCTTCGTGGATATCCCGTCCCACTGCAGCCGGGTGGACGAGGAAGCCAGGCCCCTCCCCATCAAGAGATTCCTGAAATGTAGCCCTGTCGCCGCACCCCAGGATCCAGCCATCCCTACGGAGTAGTCCGCACGTCTACCTGTGCCCCCTCCCCGCCCCCCTGCAGCCAGGAGACGGGCACACGGCCGGACGTGACGGAGGCGGCCGTGGCGGCGTGCGACTCGCTGCTGCTGCTGCTGACGTCGGCCGGCGGCGCCGACGGCGACCGGCGGCTGCGCGCGCCGCTGCGCTGCGCCGTCTCGCTGGCGCGTGACGACACCACCGCCGCCCAGCTGCTGGAGTCGGTGGGCGGGCTGGCGCGCGCGGCGCCGCCCGGCCCGGCGCGGCGCGCGCTCTTCGAGGCGCTCTGTGCGGTCGGCTGCCGCCGGCCCCATGTTCTCGCGCCGCTGGCCTGGGACGTCATGGCGCTGCTCGAGGCGCCCGACGTGGACGGCGACACGGCGGTGAGACAGCGGAAGGTGGAGGGCGGTGGTGCGCCGTCCTAGCGGCCAGTCTCATGAAAAGTGGGACAGAATATGACAGTTATGGTTTTGGATGGGAGCTGTGCTCCTGTTCAACAGTTTGAGGCCGCTGTTTTTTCAACGTGATCTGCCCTTCATTCGTAATATGTAGTTGTACATTTGTACTTAAAAGGAAATATGCCATACGATGTCGGCCTGTTGTTCCAGTTAACAGTATTAACACACTGATCTGATCAGCTGATACTGCCTTGCTAATTTGGAGCCGACCTCGGGACTCCATTAGCGCCTGAGACACACCGTATCAGTCACCGAAACACTTCCGCTCTTAGCTCGTGTCGCGCACTCCATCCTTCAGACTTTGCTTTACACATCCCAGCGAGAGCCCGCACTACCATTGCGTCGATGCGCTTACGAACGTGCACGCCTGCCTGTCACTCAAGGCCAGTATTGCCGTCCCCTGCAGTGAGAACAGAGAAAGCTTCCTGCGACGGCAGCTGGATCATATCCTTTTTATGCGAACAGCGCTGACGTTTAATGCTGGGACCACTGGTCAGCTGGCGCCGGGCCGGTGACAGAGGCCGCTGCTGTCGTACAGGTGCAGCTGTGCACGCTGCTGCTGCAGCTGCGGGTGGGCGGCGCCGACTGGCCCGAGCAGGAGCGGCGCGCCGTGCTGGCCGCCGCCGGCCGCGTCTCCCACTGGCAGGCCTACAAGGTGGCCCGCCAGGCAATGCGGTGAGCCGAGCCGGAGCTTCCGGACGGCCCACCTCCAGCGCTGTCTGTCTGGTGATGTGGCTCAGGTGCCGCCGAACGGCTGCACTCCAGCGCTGTCTGTGGTGATGTGGCTCAGGTGCCGCCGGACGGCCCACCTCCAGCGCTGTCTGTCTGGTGATGTGGCTCAGGTGCCGCCGGACGGCCGCACACTCCAGCGCTGTCTGTCTGGTGATGTGGCTCGGGTGCCGCCGGACGGCCGCACTCCAGCGCTGTCTGTGGTGATGTGGCTCGGATGCCGCCGGACGGCCCCCCTCCAGCGCTGTCTGTCTGGTGATGTGGCTGGGGTGCCGCCTGACGGCCGCTCTCCAACGCTGTCTGTCTGGTGATGTGGCTCAGGTGCCGCCGGACGGCCGCTCTCCAGCGCTGTCGTCTGGTGATGTGGCTTGGGGTGCCGCCGGACGGCCCACCTCCAGCGCTGTCTGTCTGGTGATGTGGGCTGGGGTGCCGCCGGACGGCCCACCTCCAGCGCTGGTCTGTCTGGTGATGTGCGCTCGGGTGCCGCCTAACGGCCGCAACTCCAGCGCTGTCTGTCTGGTGATGTGGCCTCGGGTGCCGGCCGGAACGCTGCACTCCAGCGCTTCTGTCTGGTGATGTGTGGCTCGGGTGCCGCCTGACGGCTGCACTCCAGCGCGTGTCTGTCCCTGGTGATGTGCTCAGGTGCCGCCGGACGGCCCACCTCCAGCGCGATGTCCTGTCTGGTGATGTGGCTGTGGGTGCCACCGGACGGCCCACCTCCAGGCGCGGTCTGTCCTGGTGACGGTGGCTCAGGTGCCCCGGACGACCGCACTCCAGCGCTGTCTGGTCTGGTGACGGTGGCTCGGGTGCCCGCCGGACGGCCGCTCTCCAGCGCTGTCTGTCTGGTGACGTGGCCTCAGGTGCCGGGCCGGACGGCCGCACTCCAGCGCTGTCTGTTCGGCGCCGTTGGTTGGGTGGCAGATGTCATGTAATGTTGGCGCAGCGTATCGAGTGACAGCGTTTGGTTGATTGGCGCTGAGACCTAAGAGAGTGCTTAAGCCTAAGTCTCTGTGATTTGGTTTTTATTAGAGCCCTTTTGACCAGAAACGATGGTTTCAGGGCTATGGTATAAAAGAAAATAGTTGACGGAGGAACAGGCTAGCATGCGCCTGGAGGGCCGATCGCCGAGCTTCAACCCGCGCATGGGCGCTGGATACCCGGTCGGGGTCCCCCTTCCCACGGGGCTCTCGGCCCACTCGTGGCTGACGCATGCAGCCTGCCCCGGACAAGCGGGGTGTCGCGAGGATGCAGAATGAAGCAAGACAGAGGATAAGAGGGACGGATATGACTCTGTGTAATTGGGCCCACCCTACACACTGGTGACCCCACCCCTCCCTCGTAAGTCGCACGTAGCCTCGTCGACCCTCGTCTCCACCGTCCCCCCTCACCTGTGCACGTGCCTGGTCGGCGCCAGATTCGGACACCACGGCGTGGCGGCCGCCCTGCTGCGGCCCACCCTGTGCCAGGTCTCCACCGAGCAGATGCACTTCTGGCTGAGCGCTCTGGTCGAGCTAAGTGAAGCCGAGGCGGCGCTGGTGGCGCCACCTCACGACGACCTGGGCACGCTCTCGGCGGCGGCGCAGCGGTACGCCCGTGGCCTCTCCGCACTCCGGGTGAGTTACCACCGGCTGGCGTCGGACCGTTCTGTTGATGGGTAAGAACCTGTGCTCAATGGTAACGACCGCGGTCGCCTGGAATCCCCCGGGGCAGGCTGTGGCGCTCTGGATGCCAGTGACACTCATCGTACCTTTCCTGTGAGCCAAGGTAGCTGTGACAAGCAAAACTGACAGCTAATTCCAGCTGGCAAATATTTAACAACTGGCAGTTTGTACTTCCCATTTCCCTCTTTTCACATTTTTGGTACGCTGGCCGTCATTGCTTGGTATTGTCTCATCGGGAACCCCCGCGGAATGTCATCCATCGCCGGTGATTTGCGCGCGCCCGTCATCCAGCCCTGGACGTCTCTGGCCGGTCCGCAGGCCACCACGTCGCCGACGCAGCTGCTGGAGTTCCCCGCCGAGTTCTGCCGGCTGCGCTGGCGCTGTCTGCAGGCGCACATCCACCTGTGGACCGCGTGCCGCACCCTGCAGACCTCGCCGCCGCCCTGCGTCGCCATCGCAGGTGCCGCCGGCGCCCGCGACGACACGCAGCGCTCCGGCCGGGTCATCACCCAGGTAAGCAGGTCATCACCCAGGTACGCAGGTCATCACCCAGGTACGCAGGTCATCACCCAGGTACGCAGGCCACCACCCAGGTACGCAGGTCATCACCCAGGTACGCAGGTCATCACCCAGGTACGCAGGTCATTACCCAGGCACGCAGGTCATCATACAGGTATTGAGGTCATCACTCGGGTACCGAGGTCATTAAGTAGTTACTGAGGTCATTGCGCATGCACGGAGGACATTATGCAACTACAGAGGTCACTACCCGGGTGCATAAGTCATCACGCAGGACAGGAGATCGTGACGCAGGAACGGAGGTCATTACGCAGGTACGGATATCATAAGGCGGGTACGGACGTCATTACGCATGTGCGGAGGTCGTCATGCAGGTGCAGAGACCATGACGCGCGTATGAGAGGATGTAACGCATATAAGAAGGATACTATATATGTACGCTGTTATCACCAAAGCATCTTTTGTGGTGACGTAGAGGGTGCCTCTGGGGGGCGCGGCGGCAGTGAAGTTTGTGCCGTGACGTTTTGCGGCGTTCTCACCGCTCTCTCCGGTTCCGTGCGCCCCCGCGTCCACGCCATCCTCCTGTCCTCAGCTGCAGAAGTCGGGGGCCGAGTTCTCGGCGCTGGCCGAGGAGTACGGCCGCCTGTACCGCTCGTCCTTCGACGCCGACCCCGACTCGCTGGCCTGTCTGGAGCGGCTGCAGCGGTGCTGCCTCCTGGTGGCGCAGGCCGTCGACTGGGCCGTGCGGCGCGGGAACCCCGAGACATTCAGGTGGGTGGGAACGGAAGAGGGGTGGGATGGGGGTGGAGGAGAGGGGACGAGGAAGCGCAATTACCGAGACGGGGAGGTGGTATGGATTATGTTGGTTCGAGTATCATTGGTCGCAGTCAATCTGACCTCTCCCATCTCAACTGCGATGCCGGTCTGACCCCGCTCTGCCGCGCCTGACCCAACCCTCGGCGCCAGTCTGACTCGTCCCGCCGCCGCCGCCAGCGCGCCGGCCGACCCAGACCGCTCGGCCGCCGTCGCCAACCTGGACGAGGCGTGCCGGCGCGCGGCGGCGCTGGTGGCGCGCGCGCACCAGCTGAGCGCCGGCGCGCGCAGCCTCGGCCACCACCAGACGGCAGCACTGCTAGCTGTCAGTCGACTGATGACCGGGGCGCCTCTAGGCTTTCCTCGCCGCTTCTTCCAGACACTGCAGAAGACTGTGATCTCGGTGAGAGGGGAGGGGGCCAGGGAGGCAGGCACTGGCGGGAGGAATGAGAGAAATGATGGGATTGGGATTTCGAGGGATGAGACGAAGACTGGTTGGGGGAGGGTTCAGAGGGATGAAGAGAGTTGGGGGGGGGGGAAGGGGGGTATTAGAGGAATGGGACGAAGGCCAGTTGGGGTAGGGCTCGGAGGGATGAAGCGAGTTGGGGGAAGGTTCAGAGGGATGAGGCGAGTTGGGGTAGGGCTCGGAGGGATGAGGCGAGTTGGGGGAAGGTTCATAAGGATGAGGCGAACAGAAGCGTCTGCGAAATGGGGTGAATGACGTGGAAAGTGCCTACAGTTTGCTTTACAGTTCGTGTCGAAAACCATTGTATACAGCCGAGGAGGGCGAGGCTTGTTGTATTGTCTTGAAGGGAGAGGAGAGGAAATGTGTAGAATCGAGAAGGGTGGATGTATTGCTACAGACCTGCTCTGGTATTGTCCCTGATGCCTGAGAACACTGCCTTGTCGTTGCGGCGAGGTGCTGTGGCGATATGCTGTGGAGGAGAATGGGACAAACCGAGGGGTGCTCTCACACCTGTTGCTAATTTCTCAAACTAGGGATGCCTGAAGACACGGCCAGACCGTACCCAACTCAGCCGCCGGATAACCTGGGAGGCCGCAGCTGACCGAGCCGACCTGGTGTGGCCGTACCTGCCCATTGATGGATCGGCCTGGTGACCCAGTGACCCCAACAGTGACTCGTGCCGCCATGACCGCCGTCACCCATCAGCCCCCTGACTCTGTCTGTCCGCGCCCGGTCAGCTGTCGGTGCAGCCGCAGCCGCGCGCCGCCACCGAGCTGGTCATTCCCCACCCGATCGCCAGTCAACTGGTGGTCAAGATCGACGGCGTGGTGGCGCACGGCCCGCGCGGCGCCGTCTTCCGCTCCATAGCGCGCGTGCAGCTCACCGTGACGGCCGCGCTGCAAAGCAAGGCCCCCAGCGACTCCAAGGTGGGCGCCGGGGCCGGGGCCGGGGCCGGGGCCGGGGCCGGGGCCGGGGCCGGGGCCGGGGCCGGGCCGGGGCGGGGCCGGGCCTGGGGCGGGGGCCGGGGGCCGGGCCGGGGCCGGGCCGGGGGCCGGGGCCGGGGCCGGGACGGGCCGGGGCTGGGGCCGGGGGGCCGGGGGGCCGGGGCCGGGGGCCGGGACCGGGGCTGGGACCGGGGCGGGGCCGGGAACCGGGCCGGACGGGCTCCTGGGACGGGCCGGGGCCGGGGCCTGGGACCCGGTGCTGGGGCCGGGCCGGTGGGCCGGGGCCGGGGCCGGGGGCCGGCGGGCCGGGGGCCGGGGCAGGGCCGGGGCTGGGGCTGGTGGCTGGGACCGGGACCGGGGGCCGGGGCCGGGACCGGGGCCGGGGGCTTGGCCAGAGCCCTCCGCCGAGGCCACCAAGCGGCCGTGGGTAGGCAGCCGCCGGGGGGCGTTGTGACGCGCGGCAAGTCCAGAAGTTGTTTTAATTGATTGATTGATTGGTTGTTGATGATTTGTAGCTGGCTGGCAGTTTTGTGAGGGTCGTCTCGTACGGAGGAGGTCACAAGATGGCACGAGATGGGTGACTGAAATGCCCAGGCATGATTTGCAGTAGTGTACAGTTCTGGTCTCATGGCAGTGGCGATGTGTCTGCGGGATTCCTTGCGATAGTGCCGTGCTTCACCCGTCCCCACCACAGTCGTCGTTTGAGAACAGGACGCGTCCGTGGAACACGATCTCAAGCTGTGCGCACTGAGTGTGTCTTGTATGGTGTCGCCGCTCCGCGCCTGTAGCAGATATGACGCATGGCTCAGACTTGCGGCGAAGTCTCCCGCGCTTCCAGTTTCCCGCCACTCGATCTCTGCCCTCCGCAGCTGACCAGCTGTAGGGCGCGTCATCGCGCGCCGGCAGGTCACGTTATGCCGCGTGGCATACAGGTGGTGGCCGGGCAGGTGGCGCGCCGCACGTTAGAGACTAGCGCCGTCCTGTCCAAACGGCACAATTTGAATCATGTGTTGTAGATGGTTTGCAAGCAGAGGTGCGACTCGTCGGGCTGGCTATACCCTGGGCACACACGTTTGGGCGCAAAATGGCCGCGGCCGTGGACGCGGCCCCAGGTCCAAGTAACAAGGGCATGGCTGCAACGACATGCTGATTTATTGCCGCCATGAGTCATGAACGTCATACGCCCAATGCAGTCCGCGCGCCCCAAAAGCTCGAATAAGCATAATCACTGCCATAAACCATAACCATGGTCTGGTGGAACCCTGCCGTGTGGTCCCGTGCACACCAGATAAGGTATAGCGTCACCCAATGTTGTTTGTTAGGGCTTTCCTCTCGGGGCTTCCCCTGACGTCAGCGACCGGTGACGATGCCTCCTCGCCGTCCGCGCAGGCCCAGGACACGACAATCTCGATGAGCCGCACGGTGGAGCCACACAACGACTACTTCCACGGCCAGTTCTTGCTCGACCTGCGCCTGCAAGGTGGGCACCTGCTGCAGCTGCATGCTTATGATCCAGCCAGGCCTGCTGTTCGGCGTCATGCGAGTTTCGGTTTTATTACGTTCTTAATCAATTCGTTATTCGGATTACGGGAGGGTAATACGCGACGTCGTATCTTAGAACAGCACGTCTATTGTGTAGCTATTGGAATGGAACATCCACGCCAATATGTCGTTACCAAGGAGAACTATGCCAGTGTCCGTCGAAGGCAAATGGTGAACAGGAGCTAAGCTTGCAAACCCCAAGAGGAATCTCAGCACACGCGCTGTCGCAACAGCTGGATGCTTGATAAGCAGATGACGGGCGGTTTTGCCACCGACCAGCGGAACTCAAGGTTGATAATAAAATGTAGATAAATCACAAACCTAAAAAATCGTCTGCTGGCAGGCATTCACCTGGTGACGGTGGACGCCAACATCCTGGACGCGGACGGTATCCAGTGGCTGACGTCGTCGTCTCAGCAGCTGACGATCAAGGCGTTCGACGAGAGCCAGCCAAGCCGCTCTGGCTTCCAGCAGGGCAGCGCGGCGCGGCCCCCGCAGCACTGACCGCCGCGCCGGGCCCGCCGGCCGACCCCGGTCCAAGGGTCCAGCAGTCGGTCTGCGCTCCGGGGCCCTCAGAAGGCGTGGTTCGGACCAGGCCCGGCAAGCCCAGTGCTGCGAGTGCTTCATACGGAGCTCGGCTGCTGGCATCACGTAGATGTGCTGCACGCCGGGGGCCAGCTGCTGGTGTAATGTGAATGCATTTCGTAGGGGCTGCCGCAATGCGGATGAGTTTCACGAGGGTCTGATCACTACGTATTGAGGTGTTTCCAGGGCATCTGGCCAGACGTTAGGTGATCCATGCGTAGTGGGCCGCGCGTCGAGTGAAGCGCTTCATACGGCGCCAGGAGTGCCCGGTCGGCCCGCCGAGCATGTGGCAGCGAATGGTGCTGTTTAAAAACTCACCCGACCCGGCGTGGGCTCTGGTGCCGACGGGGAATTTTTTCCGGCGACGTACGCCCCAACAATGTCGTGGGCGTTACAAAAACGTATGTATTTTCAAGTGACACAGAGTGTGCTCCATGTTGGCGCGTGCTTGTGGAGCAATACAGCGTGCCCTGAAAGGACGCTCGTTCGCGGCGCTGCGCTGAAGCAACACACAAAAGGACCGCGGAGAAAAGCGCACTGTGTGCCGGCGAATCCGCTCTCGTTTGTGGAAGGCATTTGCGTCTCCAGAACTAGGGCCCCACGAGATCTCACCCGCTCGTAAGTTAACGGATCGCCGCCAGATTATGCCAACGGAAGAAAAACACGCAACAGCGACGTGAGTCTGAACCAGACCAGGAGCGGCGCAGTTAGCCTGGGCGCGGATCCTGAGGTCCCAGACACCCGAGGTAACCTGCGCCGCTCCCCCGCGACCTGCGACCCATCGACATAAGACCATCACTAATGCAACACACAACTGGGCTGGATGACAACGTGAGCCGGCGATGTGGCGTGAGAAATGCACAAAAGGCGACCGGTGGAGGGGGCGGCGAGCGTAGGACAAAGCTTGGGGCGCGACGGGCCGAGGTGGCGTGCAGCGAGTCGCAGAAGGATGGCGAGACAGGGGCTATCTCTAGCGCTGAGTCGATGAATGTACATATGATTTTGCCGGAGATCACTAACCACCGAATTGATGAGCATCCCACGGTGATGCAGGTACGAATCGACAGGTATTTACACATCAACTACAAACACATCGGTCTCCACTCTAAAAAAGGCGACCTGGAGTCTGTATGAAATAGGATGCGCACCACGCGGAGAGTGCCCAGCGGGCAGACTGTCGGGAACAACACCAGCCGTACCAGTGACCGCGGGCTCACACGCCGCTACGAGCAATCTACACACACCGCTACAAAATTAATACGAACAGTCGACGCGCTGACCACTGGGCGCACGCACCTGGCGTGGCATGTGAACCGCGTGCCGAGATGCATCATTCACCCACTCTCGTGATTCGTTTGGGTTGGTCGCTCTCTCGCGTGACAGAAGGTAGGCGTAACAGCTACGAGCGCGAGACCGATTCAATTATTGCGGCACGTGACAAGACTGTGGCATGGGCCGGCACCGCTCCGAACCGGAGGGGGCCAGCCGTCACGCGCTGGCGAGCGGCACGCAGACGCCAACAATGCCAGCCAAGGCTCCGTCCACGCGACGGCGCGACCGTTGTACAGAGGTGTTGAAGGATCGCATTCGCAAAACCACGCCCCCACCACACGCACCCTATCCACCACCATACGAGCCAGCGTTTGCACCACACGAACCTCGCCTCGGCCAGCCACCTTACTTCACGGGCATGCTCCCACTCTGCCACAAACCTGAACCTCACCACGCACAGAAACCCCCACCGCAACGCCTCCGCCAAACGTCACACACATGTCCATCACGGACATGCCCAACACGGAAGGCCCCTCCCGCGCAGCGCCCCAGCCTACCGCCACTCGGTCACCCTGACGTTCCCGCCGCCGCCCTCACGGCAGAGCGACAGCTCCCCTCTCCCCATCCACCCTCTGTATACTCCCACCCATCACACTACACTTTTCTGCATCGAGTCGGCGTACTGCGCGGTCGCCTCCTCTCGCTTGCAGACCCAGCCACTCCATCACCCCGTCACGCATTCGTGCACCCGCTCACACCAGCGTCCCGGGCTCACCAGCGGGCGTCACTCGCCACCCAGCTCTCGCTCGAGCTCGGCGCCCATCATGCTCCAGTCCTCTTCGAGGTCAGGGCCGCCATCACTGTCGTTGCCGTCGCCGCCCAGCTCGTCGTCACTGGGCAGCGGCTCGCCGCGACGGAACCTCACGCTCGGCGACTCGTCCTCGCTCGAGTCCTCGTCCTCGCGCGCCGGCCGCTTGGCGGCGCGCGCGCACGAGCCACCGGCCGCCTCGTCGTCGCTAGACTCGTCGTCGGCAGCGCGTCGCTTGGCGCCGCGCGGCGCGCAGCCGGCACCGGCCGAGTCGTCGCTGTCGTCACTGCTGGAGTCGCCGGGCGGCGGCGGCAGCGGCGCGTCGGGCCGTGGCGGCGGCGTCTCGGCGCGCGCCGGCCCCGGCTCGTCGTCGTCGTCGGCGTCGGAGCCGCTCTGCAGTATGTCCTCCACCTCCTCGTCCATGCGCGCGATGTCGTCGGGCGAGAATGTCAGCAGCGGGTTGAGCGTCTCCTGAAAGCTCTGCCGACGCGTCCGCTCGCCCTCCGGGTCGGGGCTGGAGCAGTGCGCCGGCGGCGCGCGGCTCACCGCCGTCTCGGCGCGAAGCGGATACAACCGCTCTTCGACGCGTTCCCAGCGCTCGGCGCAAGACCACAGCCAGTCGAGCGTCACCAGCTGGATGCGCTTGGAGCGCAGCGCCTCGTTAACCTTGGCCGTCCCGAGCCGTGCGGCCACGAGGTGCGTAGTGAGCTCATCGCGCGGGCCCTTGCGCACGAGCTTCTCCTGCACCACGGCGCCCAAGTTGACAGCTACTTGGTACGGTCGACTGGTGCTCAGCTCGACATTGTTTGGCACGACGCCACTGAAGACGAGACGCACGCCCTTCAGTACCTTCTTCCGCACGTACGGGATGAGCAAGCGGAGGTCGGGGGGCTCGCGCGTGTCGCACTTCTTCAGCATCGAGTAAAACGCGCGGTGGATGAGAAGCAGGATGTCCTCCAGATGCAACAGGTAATCGTCTTCATCACGCACCTCGATCTCACGCGACACCTTGCCCTCTGGCACGGCACCATTGTTGACGCACCCCTCAGACACAGGCGTCGGCTCCGACTTGGTGGCCTGGCTGCCCTCGGCGCGAGACTCGTCTGAGGTGGCACTATTGCAGGCGCCTACGGCCGGCTTGGACTCGCCGCAGTCGGAGCTGCCTTCGGCGGACGAAGGGGCAGCCTTCTCTGTCCCCCGCCCGCCGCCGCCGTCCGGTGACTCGCCGCCCGCCTCCCCCGAACTGCTCTGTGGCCGGGCCGACCCGCCGCCCGCCTCCCCCGAGCTGCCCTCTGCCCGGGCCGGCTCACCGCCCGCCTCCATGTCCTCTGGCCGAGCCGACTCACCGCCCGCCTCAACCGCACTGCTCTCTGGCCGGACCGGCTCACCGCCCGCCTCAACCGAACTGCCCTCTGGCCGGACCGACGCGCAGCCCGCCTCAACCGAACTGCCCCCTGGCCGGACCGACTCGCAGCCCGCCTCAACCGAACTGCCCTCGGGCCGGGCCGGCTTGGCCGAGGTGCCTTCTGGCCGGGCCGGCTCGGGCGCCTTCTCTGCGTCATTGGCGGTCGCCGCTTTTGTGCTGGACGGCCCGTCACTTGCTACTAGCTCGGCAGTGGGGTCTTCGCTGACAGCTGTTTTGGGGGCATCGTCAGAAGGCTCGTTTTCGTCTTCAGACAGGCTGAGGTCCTCAGTGAGTCCCTCAGTTAGTGCTGTGTCTGACACCTGGGGAAGGACTTTCTCATCTGAATCCTCATCATCAGTAAGGTTTGGCATGGAATCTCGCCTTTGGGCCCCTGCATTTGCACATGATGTTTCTGTTTCCTCCTTTTCTGGAGCTGTCTGGATGGTGGAGAAGTCAAAGCCCTCCTTTTCATCCTGCTCAGCCTTTTCCAGGCCTGGAGGAGCATTGATGTCTCCTGTGTGCTTGAAGAAGTGGTAGGGCTTCACATGGATCAAGTTGGGTGCATAGTTCCACACATCTTCCCTGTCATCAATGATGCACACCATGTTGTCACCACAAGGGAATAGTGCCCTGAGATTGGCTCTCTTGCTCTGTTGGTTGAAGCACTCATCTCTCGACAGTATCCGGTTGGAGAAGTATACACCTTTTGGGTCCAGGAACCCAGCAATGGTGTGAGCATACAAGCGGGCACCAAAGGTGCAGATGTGCAGCTCGTAATACTTTGAAATATTTTCCAGGAATGTTTGAGTGCCAGGACGAAACCTTGTGTGGTACCATGGTGAATTGCTACCATACAGCTGGAAGTGGTAGACATCCTTGATGTTTGCTGGTATCTCATCATTGGTGGTATGGATAAGGGTTTGATCTAAGTCCACCAGCAGCACAAGCTTTTTGTGCTTCAATAACAGCTCAGTATCCCTTTTGCCAATAGTCTCAGCCTGTTCTTTGCTCACCCTCAGCTCAGGAATGCTATGAAGCATGGCCACAGAGGCAGAGCCTTGGTTATCCTCAGTTCTTAAGTCAGCCCCACACTCTGCACACAAGTCCTTCATGACAACAGGGTGCTGGCAGGCACCCATCTGTGCAACTTCCAAGCCTGGATGAACAACATCTCCACTCTTCACTGTGATCTTCTCCAGGTTGCCAAATGTGTCACTCTTGAACTTGAGCTCGTCTGCTATCCTGTTAGCATTTGTGGCTTCTTGAGCAGGCACATAGGTGAACAGGATCGCACCAACAGACACAAAATCCCCTTCTTTGGCTTTCCACCTCTTGATGGTTATTGGTTGAGATCCTGAGTACTTTATCACCTTGTTGATACTCATCTTTGCAGAGCTTGGATCCACTCACAACATCCTCTGGGACCACTTCACCGATGAAAAACGGCCTCACATGGGCTGACCACTTTCGACAAATATGAAAATATCAAGCTTGTCATCTGCTTTCAGCCTCCATCTGCTCTCGCGCACACCCTTGCAAGACACCGCAAGCCACCCTGTCACAAGAATACCGCATAAATGTCGCCAATTTATGACTCAGACTTTTCCAAGACGCCCCACAAGCAGATATTATTCGGCAGAATACCCCTGACACAGCAAACGGTTCGGGCTTATGTTTGTTATGACGACGACGCAACGACAAGACGCAGCTGCAAATTTTGCACCGCTTTCGAAACAGCTACACAACATTTGTCTTTGGCGCAGTATTCCGTGCCGCATTGATGGGTATCTGTACGAAAGGTGCTTGGAGCTAAAACGATATAAAATATTGAACTGCTTTAATTGATATTTATCATGAAGTATAAACAGCCCAATATTAAGGTTGGAAGGAAAATGTATTATGTATAAATGTCATATGCATAGTTTTTATCTTCCTGATATGTCCCACATTCTCATTGGTCAACTCGTTTGTTTACATTTGGAGCCCCCGCGCGGTTGCTACGGATCTCGTGGGTTTCCGATGCGGTGTACCGTGGAGTGTGGCGCTGAGCTGGGTGCGGGGGAAATTGTGGAAGGAAGAGGTAGTCATGTTACAGTGAGTGTGGTTTTTGATGCGTAAGCAATTTGTCTCAATTTACCCACATTTCACCCTGAACAACTATGCGCGCCACGCGATAGGAAACGCCGTATCGACGGTGTGGCAATCCCTGGTTGGTCATGCTCGCGTTTCAGCCGCGTTTCAGCCCGTACTTTTGGATTTGAGCTGGTTAGTCGATACGTTCACAATGCTTTTTGCGGTTTTCAGTTGTACAGGAGTTTTGGAGGACACATTTCAACCCAGTATGAATAAGAACTAGGGAAAGTGGGCATATTAGAGTTTTTCATTGATAGTGTTCATTAGTGAAGCCTTGATGCCTCAACTTTTCTGAGTCTTAGAACACAAGTGCTTGTGCCACTTGTACATGTGTATATATGTGTGCCAAAGCTGCATTGTACATGAATGGCACATCAACATCATGAGTGTTTCATGGTGTGGTCAACCATCTATTGCACTGGTGCAGGCTGCTTACCATAGGCACCCTATATACTCATGGGTAGCAAGTCAAAACCCAGTAGATGGGTTGACAGAGTCATGTCCAAAGATGAAAAATATGTGCTCATCAGTGTCTGTTATAGTTTTGAACATTGATTTCAACATGAGAGATGTTCCAAATCATTGATATCTAAAAAAAAATATTATGGACCTCATGAGGAATCAAATGGTATGCTAGCAACCTACTATGATTTATCTTGATCTGTCTTGATAAGCCACTTGATCTGCACTATTTGACAGTGCTGTAATTCATGGATGTTCCTTTAATGTATTGTGCTGCTAAAGGACTGGTGCCAGATGTAACAACATGGTTTCATCAGTTTCTGGAACATTTCAGGTCAACACATTAGGTCTAGGCACATGTTTGCTTAGGGTCATAATTTGTTGTTATTGGATTCATTGTCATATCCAGATACCTGCTCATTATCACAGATGAGTCTGTACTGTTTCCTTCTCAGTAGGCCCCTGCCATGTGGTACAGTTATTGAACAATCTAGAACTCACTGTTTCAGTAATCCAAAATCAGCAGTTTATCCTGGCATATAGATAAGTTAAGTAACTTGCAATGCACACCATTATAAACCCAATGCTTATCACCTCAATGTTGTTATTCTCAGCAGGCTGATCCCCAGGCACCAGACACCATGACCCATTAGGAGCCTTGCTGCCATGGAGAGCCCGGCAGTGTGCTTGGGTGAGCATGCCATTGGTGCATTCCTGGACAGCTGCTACAAGGGTGACCAGGCAGCCATCGTCACCCAGCTGGAGAAAGGTATGCCATGGGTCATGCATGCTTGCACCACTGCACCCAGAGATGGATGGGAGTGCTGTGCAGGGCTGTGTGAGAAGCTGGAGGCATGAAGGACTGGGAGGTCAGGTTGGATATGGTATGGATGGCCTGGAATATGCTACTTGATATCAAAATTATTTTTCCATCTATGGTGAATATGCCACATAACTACTGGAATCTGGTCACTCACTGGCAGGTTGATGGGAAGGTAGATCTTGGCTGGCAGCTACTCTTGCTGCCACATCTGCTCCTTCATTGCCCGCAATCCTAACATGGCTGAGTATCCACATGAAAGCGATTCTAGCATTTTGTTGGTGTAAATGGCAGAGTGACCCCCTAGCTTGTATCAGGTAGGAGTGATGACAACCTTGTGGATTTGAATCTGATGATACAAGGACACCCAGTGATTCCTTCAAAATCGGATCCTGCTCCAAGTCACATTGGATGCATTTCCACGCCATTAAGATTATCAAAGCCTCTATGGAGAACACTGCTAGATGCCCTGTGACACGAACACCTTGCTTGACGTCTCCACAAACGAATGCACAACCAGCGCGGGCGCGACTTTTTAAACTGTCAGTGGACATCTTCCCAGGGAAAGCTAGACCTCTCTGCTGCCAGGCTGGCAAACTCCTGTATAGAAATGCTACCTTTTTTACCGGCGAAGTTATAAATCAGACTACAGATTTTTGTCGTCACCGAGCCAGATCGTAAAACGTGCGCAGGGCGATTTCATCGAGGCGGATGCCGGCCTCGCCCATCATATATCGCACGTGCAGGCATGTGTTCTGATGAAGTGTTTCGTCCTTTCAGAAAGAACACGACCAACATTTTTTAAAGACTCAGTTTTAACATGCTTTGGTGTGGACGTGTTATAGTGACTGCATGGCGGGCGAGACACACGCATTTCCGTTCCGTTTCGGATCGGCAGGATGTTGGGTCAATGTAGATATAGCTGTCGAGAGTCATCGCGGTTAATGGGTTGGATTCATTATTTTTTCTTTTGCGTGAGTAGAAAACTGCGTAGTTTCCTCCACAACGTGATAAAGCATCTCGTGTTGCAAGCCTGCGATCATAACGCAGCAACACTCCTGCACGTATTAGCCTTTACCATGCTCCTCTCGGATTCCGGTTCACTTGAGCTCCTCTAGCACTGCGGCGCGGTGTGCTGTTCCTGGGACTCAGATCCCATGTCCATGAACCTCAAAACTGGGTCGTGTTTCATCGGCAAGAACGACACCAGAATTAGCTGTGAATCCGAATTTGGATCTGAACTGCGGTCAGGTGGTTTCGTAAAAAGTTGCGTGATTTGAAGGAGGCATTTATATGTATTTCAACATTCGATTGCCGAAATCCGTACTCGGATGCTGCCCAGATCGGGTTTACCAGCCGAATATTACATTGTTTCAAAACCTTACTCTGCTGGAGTATTTGCCAGGAGTCTCCACTTGTGCTTTCCTCCAGCGACCGTAGCTGTTGTCGCACACTGAAACCGGGCCAATGCCTGTACAAGTTCAGCCGCTGTTTATTGGCGAGGATGCTCGGTTAAAGTTTACTATCGTCATAACGCACACGCACGGTTCAGTCCTGCTGCTGCTTCAACGATAGGGTTGCAATGCGCCGCCCACCCGGCCACCCGCTGGACTCGGGGTGCCTGGTGGGCGGGTTGCCGTTATTGGGCGCTCTTGGACAGGGTGCCGCTGTTCGGCCCTGCTGGCCAGGGTGCCGTCGTGTCTGTTGGGCGCTGACCGCTGCGGAACTTGTCATGACTCAGTGTTGTTAGGCCCCGATGACCGAGTGAAGTTAGGTCCGGGCACGATTTGTTGCATACTGTAGGCAGAAGTTTAACTCGCGCCGGGGCGTACCGTGTGATGGTAACTTCGATGCCACGGCTCCTCGCCCAATTTAAACCGAGCTTTGAGGCTGCAATTCCGTAAAGCCAGCCTTCTTTTTTGAGGAACGCGACGCACGTCGTCACGTCCTTGTATGGAGCGCCAACGACCGCACTGCCATTATTGGCGCTCAGAGACCATGGTGCAACCGGGATCCGAACCCGGGTCGCCATGTGGGAACCCGATGCGCTAACCCCTCGACCGTGACGCCCCCTTACCCGTGAGGCCAACCCTGGAATGTATTCTTAGGTGTGGATGTCAGTGTATCAGACTGCGGGAGCTAACTTCCAATGGTCCCAGTACGTACAGCCGCTGTCTTCCTTAGCTGCGCTCTGGTGTCAGCGACCGTCCACCACGTCCCCGGATGTGGACGTGACCGTCCACCACGTCCCCGGATGTGGACGTGACCGTCCTCCGCGTCTGCAGATGCGGACGTGTCAGTTCTCCTCCACGTCCCCACGTGTAGACGTGGCCGCCGTCCAACCCCGAGGCGTAATTGTGACCGCGCTTCTCCGCGTCGCCAGGTGTGGACGTGAACGGCTCGGATGCCGTGTACACACACCACTTCAGGTGGCGGCCCGCCTCCGGCCACGAGGGTATCGTGCAGCTGCTGGTGGGCCGCGGCGCCCGGCCGGACGCGACCAACTTGTACGGCTGGACGCCCCTCATGCACGCGGCGCGCCACGGCCACGCCGGCGTCGTGGCGCTCCTGCTGCAGAGGGGCGCCGACGCCACCCGGACCAACCGGCTCGGTGGGTGATTGCGGGGGTTTGATGGTCAGGGCGCTGCAGCCCGGACCAGCCGGCTCGGTGGGTGGCGGGCGGGGCTGGGCTGCTGTCAGGGCTGCTGCAGAGGGGCGCCGACGCCACCCGGACCAGCCGGCTCGGTGGGTGGTGGGCGGGGGGCTGATGGTCAGGGCTGCTGGAGAGGGGCGCCAACGCCACCCGGACCAGCCGGCTCGGTGGGTGGTTGCGGGGGTTTGATGGTCAGGGCTGCTGCAGAGGGGCGCCGACGCCACCCGGACCAGCCGAATCGGTGGGTGGCGGGCGGGGCTGGGCTGCTGTCAGGGCTGCTGCAGAGGGACGCCAACGCCACCCGGACCAGCCGGCTCGGTGGGTGGTTGCGGGGGTTTGATGGTCAGGGCTGCTGCAGAGGGGCGCCGACGCCACCCGGACCAGCCGGCTCGGTGGGTGGTGGGCGGGGGGCTGATGGTCAGGGCTGCTCGGCGGCCGGAGCATCAGTCGGCTGGGTGTTTTCAGGGTGAGCAGGTGGGGATACGTACAGCGTGCGCTAGACAACAGCCGCTCGCCTGCATTTGGCGGTGGTTTATGTAAGTTGGGTATTCGGCTGATTCATATTTTTTTTGGAAGCAAGAGGACAACATGCAAGTTATGTTGTGGAGCATAATCA